TCTTTAGGGATGAGGAGGATAACAATATTCGAAACCCAAGGTCACTCGTTTGCGGTTGGTGTTAATTTGGAATGAATGACTTGTAACGGACCTTACATTGATTAATAGTTCCAATAAATGTTATGAATCGTCTAGGCAATTAACTATCCCGTTATGTCTCATGCGAAATGAACACTTTACTCTTGTAAATACGAACACATTTTTTCTCATTTTCATTGATATATGATATAATCGAGGGGAAGAGTACCAGAGGCCGCCTTAAGCACTGGACGGACCAGATATGCAACACAATCTCATCATCCACTTGCCCTTATCCCTTATAGGGTCGGTCGGGAGGGTCGGCACAGTATGTGCTGCTCTTCCATACATCTCTATCAGCCGTCATATCTGAATCCACTCCTTTCTTAAGCATATCCTCTTTCACACAATCCATCCACACTTTCTTCGGTCTTCCTCTTCCTATATGCAACACAATCTGCATTCATATAATACCATCGTCGCAGAGAATCACACAGAGTGGTGAAACACCCTACGAGAGACGGTCAAGAAGAGAGGTTGCCTCAGAAATGAGGAAACAATGTCTAGTGAGCTAGTGAGAGAGTAGTACTAAAGGACTAGGATAAATTGCCGGCGGATTCCGCCCAAATATAATTCAGGTGTCAAAAGGTGAATTATTTATAAAGCTAGCGCATATCTTTTGACGTCATTTAGTACTATATGGGCCATGTGCTACTTTATTGTAAACAAAGACAGCTCTTACTCTTCCCAACGTAAGTGTTGTTATAAAAGATTGAAGTATCGTTGACCAAATCAACCGTGACAAGTTCGCTACATGTCAAAGAAAAAGCTGTAGTTAAATTTAGGTTGAGATTATCTTTAACTGTCTACTTTTCGGTATTCCAGTTACACTCTTTAACGGTTCATAGTTCAACGATCTATCAAAAACTATTAATAAATACACTGTCAACATTAATAATTCATCTTCCTAAGATAGGTTTACTTAAATGTTTATTATTATTTTTTAGTTGCAGCTTAATTTTCCTCAACTTCGCGAATAGTTAGTTAGCTATTTTATTATTATTTACAACTTTGTATAGTTATTTTTTCATCTTTAGCGATAGATGAGACACTTTTCTTTAAGATATTTATCATCATGTCCCCTGCCCTATCCTACTCCCGTAGGGTCGGCGCACCTGGTTTTCGTCCTCCAAATAACTCTATCATCCGTCATCTCAGTCATCACTCCCTTCTTGATCATGTCTCCTTTCACGCAACCTAGGAGATGGATGGCATCTCCTAGGTCTACCTCTTGCGATGTTGGCGACGACCGTGGTGTTTTAGTCGGTACTCTAGGTCCCAATGAACCGAAACAGGCGTAGGCATTTCCCCACGTAAAAAAAGGTCTACCTCTACCGGTGTACATCCACTTTCCTTTAAGACACTCTTTTAAATTTGAGAAGAAAGTGATTTACTGGGAGTATAATATTAATCAGATCGTAACGATGTTTTCGTTACGAACAAATTAAAACCGACAGTTAAGTTAAACTTAGCTACTATCGAAATCTTGACTTTATTACAATCACGTTCAACAATCACAAGATAATCATGTTGTAAAGACATTTGCAAACATTTATATATAAATAAGATCTTATTAAGGAAGAACAAAATCATACGGAAGTCTTGTTACGATTATCAATAAAATATCGCAAATACAATGTTGACATTCTCAAATTTCAATATCATTAAATATAATGTAGGTATATCACAACAAATAAAGGGAGTAAGCAGATAAAAAAAAACATACAGACGAATTGAGTACCTCCTTCTTTTGGGAAGTCGGTCGAAAATAAATGCAACAGATGTAAGGGGCATTGGTACATACAAATTAACATTTGCAAATTTAAATGTACCGAAAATCTTAAGGAGACTAGAACACATATAATTATTGCATATGAGTACATCCGTGTGGAATTAAAAAACAAAACTAAGTAGCCTATGTTTTCGGACTTTGCTCTACATCTATGCTAAATTTCACTAAATCTGTTCAGCAGTTTAAGCCACAAACTCTAATAAACATCCATCTAAACTTTTACATTTATAACATTAGTAAGATTATCTGAATTATTATTAATTATTATGGGGACCTAAACCAGAAAGTGTTAAGATTGAATGTCATCCGCATTACAAAGGAAGAGGAAGACCGAAGAAAGTATGGATGGATTGTGTGAAAGAGGATATGCTTAAGAAAGAAGTGGATTCAGATATGACGGCTGATAGAGATGTATGGAAGAGCAGCACATACTGTGCCGACCCTCCGTAAGGGATAAGGGCAAGTGGATGATGAGTAAGACTATCTGAAAGGAATATTCAAAATTACCTGAAATCAATATGAACGTTGTAAATCATTGACATATAATAAAATAATCATTACATTAAAAAAAAATAGTTCCGTCTGTTCGCTTGATTACGAATAGGCTTATTTTTGCAAAAACAACATTATTTAAAAAAAAATATTTGTCAAAATCGGTCCTCTAGGGACGGAGTTATGCCGCTACACACAAAAAAAAATAAAACATCCACTATACCACATATTTAAGTAATTTTTTATTAATATAGTGCTGCAAGCGCAGTTATTTTACAAGTTTTACGACCTTTGGATTTTTTTGATATATTAAACCAATTTTTGCTTAATGAGTTCGCACTGCCTTGCATTGTCTCAATTTTATCAGAGAGAGAAAGAGAGAGATGTTTAAATCATTATCAGAACTGCATCACAAGTACCTTATAAAAGTAGTTCGTTTTATTACAATTACAAATCAAATACTATACAAATCGAGAAAACATAATTTTAGAATTTTGCCATAAAAAATAGTTTTATTAAACTGTAAGGAATTCACTTAAAATAATAGTCTGATAATTTATTATCTTTAAACAGATTTATATTGAAGGCCTTTTTCAAAAATTATATTTACAAATTTGTTTAGTTACATTTACAAATATATTTTAGCATAAATCTCAAACATATGAGTAAGTGAGATCTTTCGAACATACGTTTCCATTGCCGAAACACTTCTATAAAAATATATTGCTATCCTTGTCACTCTCCTTGAAGAAACTTAGACAATAAGATATTATTATATGGCTCTTTCAACTGCGGAGATACACTAGGAACTTAAAAAGGTAACTAACGGTCATAATAATTCGTCCATAATGAGACCGCTGTCCATAAACATATGCGTTTGCCAATGTATTGCCTTTAAAAATAGAAGGAGACGTATAAAAGATGTTTGTTATAGGTCTGTAGTGGATTTGACATGGGGACACATTCCTAGCCCATGCCATCTCTTCCTATCCTTTCCTTACTAAGGATGGGAAGGATTGAGGACTAGAATAAGGCATTCAACAAACTTCCATTTTACGCTTGCCCTTTGTTACATGAGGCAAGTCGGATAGTGTGAATGATTTTATTGCTAGCTTAACCACTCTTGTTTTACCTAATTTACCATGTGACAAAATTGTGCATAACAGTCGCGGCAGTTTTCATTACAAAAATGATCAAATATTGGTAATTTTAGTCTTGGTTCCGGTAAGGATTTACCTGTTTCGTTTAAGATTTTTATGCGCATTTGCATTGCTAACATTTATGAGTAATCTGCAATTATACTTAGTATTTGGGACTCAGAGGAAACTCTAAACCTTGGCTTGTTTTTACATTGTGCTAAACAACATTGAACTTAAGATTATCTACATTTTATGTATGTAGAAGATATTTCCATATTTATTTACAAGCCTATAATCTTTTTTTTTATAACATAAGGTGGCAAACGAGCAAGCGGCCACCTGAATCCGCCAAAATGGCGAAGCGACCGCTGCCCACAGACATCCACAATTGCAGATGCGTTGCCTAACCTTATCCAACAGAGGAGGAGACGCACATAAAGAGGATATCTCCCCTTCCTATGTATCTCCTCCTCCGTTAAATCTACTTCCTTTTCCCATCCTCTCCTTATAAGAAAAGGGTGGTATAGAGAAAGGGACTTAAATTAGGCCTCCGGCACCACACTCAGCAGACGAAACACGGAATTGCTTCCATTTCACGCCTGTCTTCTGTGTGGTCGTGGCAATCTACAAGAAAAATGTCAATATATTACATTTTATGTAAGATACAATAAGAGTGAAACTGATTATTAATGCACGTAAAGTCAAGGTAAGAAACAAACAAAATAGTTCAAAATAATTTAATACATCTTCCTGGAACATTTAATACATCCCGGAACACATAACAGTGGTAGAACCCGCTTTAACATCTTCGAATAGGTCAGCTCGCCCGGTGTAATACCACGACCACTCAGAAAATGGGCGTCAAGTGAAAGCAATTCCGCGTTTCGTTTGATGAGTGTGGTGCCGGAGGCCTAATTTTAGTCCCTTTCCCTTTCCACCCTTTTCTTAAGAGAAAAGGATGGGATGGAAAAGTGGATTTGACTGTGTAGGAGACGCATAGGAAGGCGATTCCTCCTCCGTCAATTAAGGGTAGTCAACGCATCTACAATTGCTGATGATTATGGGCAGCGGTCGCTTTCCATTTCGGTGGATTTAGGTGGCCGCTTGCTCGTCCTTATGTTATAAAAAAAAACACTGTCCAAAAATGAATTATACTTTGTTTTCCAGTTCTCAACTTATTTAAATTTCAATAAAGAATGTTTTATCAAACTATTAAATTACACTATGCCATTTTGTTACAATAAAAAAAAAATTACAACTATCGCTCGATTCAACACAATATCAAATTCCACTATAATAAGTCAGAAATCATTATCATTTCAATTAGAACAATAATTGCATAAGAATTACTAATCGTATGCACTTTATTTATTTTTCATCATCATTTTAAAACGTAATTATCGCAAACGATCAAAACTAGTTTCACAGACATTGAATTACGTTCCGTTTCAATCGACATTCATAATACAATTGCTTTAACGCAAAGCACGTTAAAACTTGAAAAAAATAATAAAAAAAAATTATATTTTTGAAATCGAATATGATATTCAAATATATTGGATTAGTTTATGTTGTACTTGTACGGTAAAGAAAGGTCACGGTGAGTGTCATGCGGTGCGTAGCGATTTGTTCGAGTAAATAAAACATGAGTCGACTCTCCTCACGGCAACAGTGGCGGCTAAGGAGAGGTCCTGATCGTGCTTACGAGCTCTAAAGTGCTAGTGTTGTGGTATTACATGTGCCGTGTTAACAAGGATTATTATTAAATTATCAAAATGTAAGTAATTTTAATTCTTTAAAAAAATAACGGAACCAATAAATAAAATAATGCGATAAAATTCCAATAATAAAATTAAAAACAATTTTTTAACCGTAATGCAATTTACGAAAACTGAAAAATTATGAACTTGCGATATAAATAGAGAAAAAAAAAATATATAAAAAACCGACAAAACGCATAAATATTTAAAATGTGATACAATAATTACAAATGTCTTAAATTATTAATAATGCATTTGTAGCACAGCAATTATATTAAAAAACGTTATTAAACAGTAAACTATAACTATTACTGATACATACTTGTAAGAAATCTATTTTCATTATCAATTATTATTATTATTATTAAAAGATATCTTTTATATAATTTAAAGTGAGGGGAATTTTTAAAATCGAGTAATAAATATTATATTGGAAAAACAATTTATAAATCGGTCTATTCTTTTTATTCATTACATATATAAACAATTCTGTCCATTTCAATGCAATGCAAAAGTTTAAATTCGAAATAATAGTAACAATTCTACGTCACAGTGCATGCAAAAAGATGAAACTAGTATTATCTTCCTCAAATCCTTCTTCCCAAGTTTAAATCTGTCTAAAATAATCTAAGTTGAGTTATCTATACTATTATAATAAAGCGTAAACACACACTTCTTTGTTGCCTAAGATGTCAGCAATTACAGCATATTTTTGAATAGTTCTTTTTTTAATAAAAAGCCCACACTTACGTCACGCTTTAGGCTATATATTTTCACGCCATTAAACTTAGAGGGTAAATATTTTGGATAAAAACCCTAATGTGGGAGAGACCATAAGTTGTTGCCAACATCAAGGAAGGAAGGTTGCCAAGGTTTGTCATGTCATGTCATGTCATTTTGACATTTGCTATTAATAATTTGACAATAACATTTGAACATAAAATTTTCATAATTTCATGCGGATAAAGCCGCATGGGAACAGCTAGTAATAAATAAAGCATAAAACCTTCCAAAACCTGACATTATGAAAACAATTACGTAATAATTAAATACTATTACACTGCTTTTCTCACATTATTCCATCAATTAGCTTTAGCCTGCAAAGCGCGGAATAAAAAAAACTTTTGATCAGTCAAATCTTAACACCTACTCAATAATACGAAAATGCGATAAAAATAACACTCAACTTATACAGGATGTCTCGTAATAAGTAGATAATACTGAAACACCTTTAGTACAATCGTCAAGGGCTCGGAGAAAAGTAAAATAAATTCAACAGGGTTGGCAAAAAAATTCAAATTTAAAATCTATACGTTTTTGGTGCAATAAGTACAGTCTATAAAATGATATAATACATGTCTGTTCCTTAAGTAAATATTAAGTTACAACAATTAAAACGCAAACTAAAATCGGGCCAAAAGAATTTTCCCATTGGGCCGTTTGAATCTATGGATTTAACAGAAACAAACAACCATAGACTACTATGAGAATCAATTAGATTATGTCTGAGAGCAACTGTTTAAATTACCTTTAAGTAAATTAAAACTAAATCATCCCGAAACAGTACAATATCCTGCGATTACTCTCCGAAGGATAATTTATTTATAGTAATTATTCGCGTGTGTTTAAACAACATTGTTGGATGCGCTAACACGCATTTTATGAATTAAATCCACTAAATAGACGTAACTTCCTTACCTCAAGGACTATGTCTTTACCGGTGGAGCAAGCTCAAGCTTTACGTCCTAAAAGACATAACGTCTATTTTCTCTAACAATTGTTGCATTTACGTTAATATAACTCTTTCCTCTTATCTTATTGTGCCTTACAAACGGGTGCCGGGTACCCTTGAACTACGAATGCACCGGAGGGCATAATATTGTAAATTGAGGGGAAATGGTACTTACAAGCTCGATGATTTGCTTCACCTCCTGCAGGTGTCTGGTCTCAGTCAGTATCAATCGAGTCAAAGTCTGGTTCTGTCAATATATAGGCCCAGCGATGCTGCCTGAAAATGCAGCCGGGTGCACCGTAAGGATTTCGAACGCGAAACCGAATTTTGCGACCCCGTTGGCTACCGACATTGACACGACCGTTGTGTCCCCGCGTTGTACAAGCAAATACTTTTAACTTTAATCCGCCTTCTCTCTTTTGAGGTCTCATTACGAATATTTGTGATAACGTTTTCATAACATCATCAACAAAATTTGTATTAGATTTGGGTAGATTTCCTATCGGACATAAAGTCAGAACAATAAATCTCATACTGATAAGTTCTTGAAACTATTACGATTCCAGATTGACCCTCTGTTCTTTATTAACTTAACCCAAAGTAATAACGTTCCCTTATGATTTTATCCTGGTGTTTTTATAATGTACAATTCTATTATGTAATTTACAACCGCAATATTGATTTTTCTTTTGTAAAAAAAAAAATATTTACATTTGTAAACAAAAACTAAAATTAATTACATGAATCATTTGTCTATACTAAATAAAATTTGCACATGACTGTATTACTCTAATACGGAAGTAACGAGAAATTTTAAAATATGCAATTTTTTATAGTATATTAGGAAACATGCAATTCTTTATAGTATATTAGACAAAGGTAAAAACTCCTGTGAAAATAAACATAGCTAAAAGTATAAAAACAGACGTTTTTTCAATTCCCAACTTAGAAAAAGGTAACTGCATTTCAGCGAACAAACACCCAATCTTAACACAGGTTTGAAAATGCTAAACAATAACAAAGTTTCTCTATACTAAATTAAATCTATTATAAAGAGGAAAACTAAAAATTGATATATACATTCAAATCCCATTCATATACATAAAGTAATACGCTTTATGGTATTTTAATTTTCTATAATATTTACTTCTATACTTATATTATAAAGAGGAAAGATTCGAATTTTTTATTGTAATGGAATAACTCAAAAACTACTGGGCCGATGTCAAACATTCACCATTTAAAAGTTGTTATTGAGTAACATAGGCTATGTTTTATATTATTTTTTAATTTCACGCATACGGAGTCGCGGGCGAAAGCTAGTCTTTTATAAGGTAGTACAAACTAGCGATAGATAACATGAGCGATGTCATGAAACTACTTGATATCTTAATAAGTCAATTAAATTTCTTTAAAATAGACAATTGTCTGGAAACGTTTCCACTATATTTTGTCTAAATAAGATAGATTAGTTTGATAAATGACGCATATAAAGTATCGAATTAATTTGTATGAAAGCAAATGCCGTACTTAATAGACAGGTACCGTAGTGACGAAACAAACACGCATAGCGAACAATTTTGACCTATCGAAATTCGATTTAAATAATTATCGAACTCAACTAAAATTATTATTTTCTTATTAACTAATTTAGAGGACAAGTCTAGTATTGATTATAGTGTAGAGAATTTAGCGATGACAGAAATAATATCGAAATCCAATTCGATTACGTACGGCTGTACTAGTAATAAACATTTATTTACTCTCATTATTTGTTATGGTCATTATCAATTTCAGAAAACACTGTTTTTTATTTTATTACATAAGTTATAACTATAAATCTAACGATTCCAACTTCTATAAGAATAAAAATCGAAAATCGATAAGATTCATGACTGATTTTACACAACTCATCCCTACTGAATTTAAAATGAATTGTCAAACTAATCTAAATTATTTAGACAAACTATAACAGCTCTACGAATACAACATTACAATCCACGATCGCCAAGGATTTTAACTACACTGACGCATTCTGGTATTTCCCACAACTTTCATCCCACTTAAAACGCGTGTTGATTTAATTAACGTAAAGGACATTAAAACAACTCCAAGAAGGTCTTTTAATATCATGTCTACGTTAGAGTTTTTCTCTTTAAGCCTCGGTGGCTTATAGGTTATGCATCTGACATATAACAGATCTTGGGTTCGATCTTGTACCATTGTGCTTTTCCAATTTCATATGTACATTTATACTAACAACTTTTCTTCATAATATTAGTATAGATTTAGTATAAGAGCGTCGGTGGCTCAGGGGTTTAAGCACTTGACTTGTAATCTACAGATCTTGGGTTCGAATCCCGCCATGTACCAATGTGATTTTCGATTTTTCGTACGGACATAATTTACCCGACGTTCTTACGGTGAAGGAAAACTTCGTGATGCCTGCACATATCGGCGAAGAAATTCAAAGATATGTGTGAAGTCAACCAACCCGCAGTGGGCCAGCGTGGTTGACTATGGCCTAGTCACCCCTTATTAGGGTAGGCTCCGAGCCCCTCGGTGGGGACGTATAGTGGGCTGGTGATGATAGAGTATAGATTTGTATCAATAAATCTATATAAAACATATCGTTTGTATACTTGTATTGTACAATAGATGCACCTTTCTAAAGTTCTACAATGTTTTAATAACTTTTAGAGGATTTTTCGAGAACAGTATTGTTTTGTCTGAAAAAGTTTATGAAAGAAAACAAAAAGTTCTTCATTGTGATAAGAAATTTTCCGTACACGTCACTTTACTTATATAATTGTAATTTATTAAATAATTAAATATTCATACCACAAATATTACATATTCATACAATAGAATAAAATTATCTATTTACATTTCTTAGAACAAAATATCTTATTGCAATATTAGGAATTTTACTAACACTAACATTATAAATGCGAAAGTTTCGATGGATGGATGTTTGAGTTTGTAGCCTGAACTGCCTAACGGACGTCAATGTTTAGCATAGATGTAGAAGATAATCTGGAAGAACACATAGGCTACTTTTGATCCCGGAAATACTTAAGGTACCCGGGGAAACTATTAAATTGTTTTTTTTTCATGTTTCTCGATAATTCTGCAACGGTTTAACATATCTAAATAAAATTTGGTACAAAAACAAAACAAATCTTTGTGGAACACATAGGATACAGTTCATCCTCGAAATATGTCAGGTTAGCGAGTTATACGTTGTTTTTTGTTTTTCATAGTTCGTATGTTTTTTTACTGCGCGGACGAAGTCGCGGGCAACAGCTTTTCTATACTAATATTAAAAATTTCCCTGTTGTTTTGTATGTATTCGATTCACGTAAACACTACTGGGCTGATTTAAAAAAATATTTCACCGCTAGAAAGGTAATTTATCTTTGAGTAACATATGCATATTAGTACATTTCACGTGGACAAAGTCGCTAGCAACAGCTAGTATGTAATAAATACGCCAAAAAAATAGGTTAGGTTTTTAACCAAAAACTTCTTTACTATATAGTTTTATTACTCCGGCATAATGCGAATACTTTATAGACATGAACATAGAGTTGGGCGTGAGACGCATCCGTCTCGTTACGAGAGCCAAGCATTGGAAAATTATCCATCGTAAACACTAATATCAGTATTCAGAGACATGCACCAAGAAGTATTAAGCTTGGTTTCCATTGTACATCATTCCGCGGACCCGTACAAGGGAGAACGAAAATATTCTCGTTCACAATGTTAACGAAACCAATGTCCCTCCGCACAATGACGTATGAAAACCCAGCGCTACGTAATAAAATGCTGCAATGCGTGAGCTCTGTGCGCATCTACACAACCGTAGATATCGTTTAAATGACAATATTTAAAAAAATAAGGCGAAGTAGATCAAATCTAGTCTTCTTTAGCTCTTATGTTTTCTTCAAATTTGTACAGAATAATCTTACCAATAACCCCTTCTATGTGGCAACTATCCTCCATCCGTCACTCCCAATATGGCCGTCGTGTAATCGACCCAATACCCTTATTTCTGACATCTGGCTACTGTCTGATTATTAATATAACAAGTAGAATTCAGATATTTTAAAACCATGTCATAAATCTGTACTATTATAATAAAGCGTAAACACACACTTCTTTGTTGCCAAAGATGTCAGCAATTACAGCATATTTTTGAATAATTCTTTTTTTAATAAAAAGCCCTACACTTACATCAAGTTTTAGGCTATATATTTTCACGCCTTCACGCCAAAACCCTAATGTGGGAAAGAGACCATAAGTTGCTGCCAACATCAAGGAAGCAAGATTGCCAAGTTTTGTCATGTCATGTCATTTCGACATTTGCTATTGATAATTTGACACATGTAAACAATAAAATGAGATTGTCATAATTTTATGCGGATGAAGCCACTCAGGAACAGCTAGTATTTAAATAATGTGTTGGGTCACAATTACAAAGTGTATTGTTGTTATTTTAAATAAATGGTATTGATTTATAGCACAGACTGAATTACCTTCAAGAATACAGGATACATCCAAATAGTTAAAAATCTAAACAATCATGTAGATTTCTTTATGTTTTTTGTAACCATATTACTAATTTGTATGTTAATGTGAATTTGCAAAAAATATTGCCATACGTGCTTGTTAGATTCAAACACTTATTTATATTCTGTTTGTAAATCCTGGGGATGGTCAAAGAGACATTGTGCAGTATATCCTTAACTAAGTTACGTGACTAGACCTGTAATTAATCTTCTTTGAAGTTCATGAGATCATTACGTTTAACTTAAAATTTACCTCATATCAATTCTATTTAATCTACTACCTTAAGTGTAATTTAACATTATGTAATGTACAAGTTAAGTCAAACGATGTCCCTTTATTTCAAATATTAATAAATGTAATAAACAGGAAGTCCTCGTTTACCCATTTTATTGTTTTATTAAAAATAACAAATAACCTTATCGTATTGGTTACTAGCTTTCGCCCGGGACTCCATCTGCGTGAAATTACAAAAGAAAGTGAGCGCAAAAACACATTATTCTTTCTTCCAGATTATCTTCTTCATCTATGCTAAATATCATCGACATCCATTCAGCAGTTTAGGATATATAAAGTTTTTAATTAAGAAGTAAGATTAACACTTGTTATTGTTTTATTAAATTTTGATTTCTCTAATTTCAGATGAGGTATCCAAATGCAGCACTACCAACGATATGGCTACTGCTAACTATCGTTTTACCAACAAGAACACAGAACGCAAATCCAGTTTCTTCATTCATGCAATTTCTAAGAGAAGGCACAAACCATCTTGACAGTGAACCACCCGACCAAAATAATATGCTAACAGAATATGACTTCATAGTCGTTGGAGCAGGAACCGCGGGCTGTGTACTAGCCAATAGACTCACAGAAATACCCGACTGGAAAGTGTTACTAGTCGAAGCTGGTAACAATGAAAACTTCGTTATGGATATACCAATTTTAGCAAACTATCTACAATTCACCACTGCGAATTGGGGTTATAAAACGAAACCGTCGAGCAAATATTGTGCCGGATTTGAGAATCAGCAATGCAACTGGCCACGTGGTAAAGTAGTCGGTGGATCGAGTGTACTCAATTACATGATATACACGAGAGGAGCCTCCAACGATTACAATAAATGGGAACAAATGGGTAACAGAGGTTGGGGATGGGACGACGTTCTACCATATTTAAAAAAAGTAGAAAACTTTAATATACCATCACTAGATGATCCTAATTACCATGGACACGATGGATTTCTTAATGTTGAATACTCTCCATATCGTACAACTAAATCAAAAGCATGGGTGAAAGGAGCACAAGAAATGGGCTTCAAATACGGGGACTACAATGGCGCCAACCCATCAGGAGTGTCATTCTTACAACTGTCTATGAAAAACGGCACACGACATAGTTCAAGTAGAGCATACTTACATCCTATTAATAAAAGAAACAACCTTCACGTGTCTAAAAATAGTATGGTGACGAAACTCATTTTCGACAAAACAAAAAGTAAAGTAATCGGCATCGAAATGGAAAAACGTAACAGAAAATACAAAATTTTAGCAAAGAAAGAGGTTATCTTGTCTGCTGGGGCCATCAATTCGCCACAGCTGTTAATGTTGTCAGGAATTGGCCCTAAGAAACATTTAGAAGCTATGAATATTCCCGTTGTAAAAGATTTACCAGTTGGATATAATTTGATGGATCATATAGCTGCTGGCGGAGTCCAGTTTATGGTTAATAAACAAAATTTCAGTCTAAACACGGAGTACATCTTGAATCATTTAGATTTAGTATTTAAATGGATGAGGACGCATACAGGACCACTATCGATTCCTGGCGGCTGTGAAGCACTTGTATTCATGGATTTAAAAGACAAATTCAATTCCACCAGCTGGCCTGACATGGAACTTCTCTTCATTAGCGGCGGATTAAACGCAGATCCGTTGTTAAGAAAGAACTTCGGCTTCGATGAGGAGATCTACATGGATACGTACGCAGCTTTAGAAAAACACGATGTATTTATGGTTTTCCCGATGTTAATGCGACCTAAATCGAAGGGCAGAGTTATGTTATCGAGCAGAAACCCTAAAGCTCATCCGACTTTGATACCGAATTACTTTGAGTATCCAGAAGATCTGCAGAAGATAGTCGAAGGTATTAAAGTTGCGATACAAATATCAAGACAGCCGTCGATGAAGAAATTGGGTACAAAATTGTACGACGTGCCGATAGAAGACTGTTTGAAGTATGGTCCGTTCGGGAGTGACGCGTACTTCGCTTGTCAGGCGCAGATGTTTACGTTCACAATATACCATCAAAGTGGTACATGTAAAATGGGGCTGGCCAGCGATCCCACAGCTGTTGTTGATTCAAGACTGAGAGTGCATGGTATTGCAAAATTAAGGGTAATTGATGCCAGTATCATGCCAGACATAGTTTCGAGTCATACAAACGCTCCAGTTTACATGATAGCTGAAAAGGGTGCGGATATGATAAAAGAAGATTGGAAAAGGATACGATGATGAAAATTAGGTTATGTAGAATAAAAAGAAAAATCTGTGATTTAAGTTATTGATGGGTAACTGTATAGTATTGACGTTTCTAATTTAATATATGATAAAAACAATTATTCATTCAAGTGAATAAAATTTATAAATAATTTATTCTCAAATAGCATGGAAAATGTATTTGTAATATTACAAGCTGCATTATAATGTATTAGTTAAGCCAATGGGAATTTAGTGTAAGGCAGAATTAGGGTTACTTGTACATGACAATTAATAATTTAAATAGGTCCTCGGAGAATGTAATGGGGCATAATGTTTTTTTATAGTTTTAGGAATATGTTAACCTTTACCAAAGTTTTGTAGATTAAAAATCTTGTAAACATTAAAAATGGGTTTGATTTTTAAAAATGGTGAAAAAGATTTACTTGAAAAACTGTATTTTTTTCTATCTTTATTATTTGTATAGGGAAATGAAGCTAAAATATTCATGTATATTTTATACTGTGCATCACAACAAAATTTATCTTGGTAAATAATTCGAGAATCACAGAAGCTGTTTAATTGTAAATTGTATGCTGAGAATGACACAAAAAATGCAACGTATTTAAAAATTAAAAACAATTAAAGGAATAAATTTGTGGAAAAATGGTAGTTATTTTTTTCAAAATTCTTCTCGAAAGTTTTTTAAATAAATGTCGCGATTGTGACGCCTTACAAAAATTATTAGCAAATCTTTAAGTTAAAACCAAAATGAAAGCTTCTAAGAACTTACCATAATCCATTTTTCTAATACTACTTCGCAAATATTAACAGCAAATAAACTGTAAGTAACATTTGCTCGATCTTTTTTTTAAGGAACAAATCAACTGATATCTGAGCAAACAAAATTCAGTTTACATTTCTGCTATTTGATTTCGACAGTTTACTAAGTATTGACCCAAAAATGACAATGCCGTGATCATGACCTAAGTAATTTATACCGTCAGCATAAAACGCAAGTTTTTATCTTTGTTGCACAAGGCGCATATTAACGACATGAAACGATGCCAAAATAAGAATAACTGAAATAAAGTAAAATCTGAATATTCAAATTAAAAAATCAGCGTGATTACACAATAAAAACAAGTGAATACGTAAACAACAATTTTCATCATTCTTTTAACTTCATAAAGAAGAAACAATAAAGAGGAATACATGCGTACTAAATAAACTATAGGGTAAAAAGGTGTGGTTTAGTCAAAGAGATTTAAAAATATACAGAGGAAGCATAGTTGACACTTAACCTGAGACATTTAGAAAAAACGATGTTCACTATCAGCCGGTTTGAATATGCAATTTTATCAATCGGTAATCCCAACCCGTGATCAAATTTTTTGAAATACTGTTTCAATCTATACTTCCATACTATTATAATAAAGCGTAAACACATACTTCTTCGTTGCCTAAGATGTCAGCAATTACAGCATATTTTTGAATAATCCTTTCATTAATAAAAAGCCCTACACTTACGTCACGCTTTAGGCTATATGTTTTCACGCCATTAAACTCAGGGGAAAAATATTTTGGATAACAACCGTAATGTGGGAAAGAAACCATAAGTTGCTGCCAACATCAAGAAAGCAAGATTGCTAAGGTATGTCATGTCATTTTGACATTTGCTATTGATAATTTGACAAATGTAAACAATGAAATAAAATTTTCATAATTTCATGCGGATGAAGCCGCACGGGAACTAGTAAACAATATTTAGACAGACCGATGACATTGGATGACTTTTGAGATCGATTCATGGATTGCATCGATTGGGACGTCGATTATTCGTTATTGAGACCCGCCGTATGTCGAATCTATATATTTCTTAAATGTCTTTGGAACAAAAACTGTACATTCACTTTAAAAAAACTTGATGTTTTTGGTCTGAATTAAACAAATTATCTGGCGGCCTTTAATACTTTGTACAAACGGAAACTAACATTAAGAAGTAATGTTCGCAATTGATAAAAATCACGCGCGAATTTAGCACAAGAACGTTTCGAGCAACCTTTCATTGACAGCTGGCAAATACACAATAAATCTAAAGCAGTTGAAACTAAAACTTTCTAATGGATAGATAAGATAAAGCCTTTATTCGCTGACAATTTACAATATTTACAACTTATTAAAAACAATATAAATAGTTAGAGTAAAATATAAAGTTTTATTTTTTAAATAAAGTATGTATGTACATTTTCATTTTCCAGCATCCAATTGCGTATCAGGTTGTCCTTCGACATAGGCCTTTTCTAGTTTCTTCCACGTCTCTCTATCGCACGCTAATCGTCTCCATCCCTTCGGTAGGTCGTCTTCCCATCTTTTTATTTGTCGAAACATTGTAATAAATAAATCTTAATTAATTTTCAAACATTTTGGGACCACTAGTGTTGCCTAATTTCGAAATATATATACATATAGTCCAAGGTATTTTTTATGAAAAAAATCAGATTAAAGTGACACGTTAATCAGTTCAAACAGTTTCCTTAAAATATTTCACTACACTTATTACCCGACTTCATTTAATATTTACTCGACTAAACCAATAGTTTTCTTGACAGTTTTGTCCCCGGAGGCACACTGACCGGGTTATTGATTTTTTGTATTACTACTGTACACTCTAATAAAACGTACACTAGCTCAAATGTGGCCATGCGTTTGTAAAACAGTAAAAAGTACTTACCTACAACACAAACAACAATTTTCAAAACATTTTATTGACATTTGTCAAAATAAGATGGGGTTTTTGTCGAACTTTCAAGGTTTTTCTTTGAAGTCGCATTTTTCTTAATTATCATATTAATCATACTAATTTTATATCATACTAATATTATAAATGCGAAAGTTTAGATGGATGGATGGATGGATGTTTGTTAGAGTTTGTAGCCTAAACGGCTGAACGGATTTCGATGAAATTTGGTAGAGATGTAGAGGACAGTCTAGGAGAACACACAGGCTACTTACTTTTGTTCTTTTTTTAAATTCCACGCAGAAGGAGTCGCGGGCGTAAGCTAGTTGAGAAATAAAAACCAGTGAAATATAGAATAAGTACTAAAAATATTGGTACGTTAATTAGTGTTATTTGATCAGAATATACGCATTACATACCAATACTTGAAGTCTACCGATATTAAAAAAAAACAAACAATGGAAAAACAAAATAGGTAACCCACAATATTAATAAAGATTTTAATTTTTTTTATAATATAAGGTGGCAAACGAGGTCCACCGAAATGGAAAGCAACCGCTGCCCATAAACATCCGCAAATACAGATGCGTTGTCTACCTTTAATTGACGGAGGAGGAGACGCACATAAACAGGACATGCGTCTCCTCCACCGTCAAATCCACTTTTCCTTCCCAACCTTTTTTCTAAAGAAAAGGGCGGAAAGGGAAAGGGGTTAAAATGAAGCCTCCGGCACCACACTCATCAGACGAAACGCGGAATTGCTTCCACTTCACGCCTGTTTCCTGTGTGGTCGTGGTATTACACCGGGCGAGCCGGCTCATACGTGCGAAGATGTTAAAGCGGGCTCTACCACTAAAATAATCATGAAATAGTGTCACTGAATGAGATATTTATAAAATGAATTTTAATAGGTGGCCAAATACCTTTGAGGTCTAGGTGTATATCACATGAAATTAAATTAGTGACCAACATTGTGGTCTAGAATTCTTAAGTTAATCGAAATGTCAATTGAAATATGCATCTATGTTACCTTGCACTGAGGTCAACTAGTTTACCAAATAACACTGCAATAATTATCTGTAAAAGCTATTTTGTATCTGTATTTTTGGTTGTCAAATAAGAGAAAAAAATAGCTTAAAATTTTAAAAAAAAGAGGAGGCATTTTAATGTAATGTCAAAATCTCTTCATCTTCCTCCTTATCCTATTCTCGTAGTGGCATAACAGGTTTTTGTCCTCCACATAACTCTATCATACGTCATCTCAGTTATCCGTTTTTGATCATGTCACCTTTCACGCAATTCATCTCTTTCTAGGTCTACCTCTACCGGTGTACCACACTCATAACTAATGTTCTTAACTTAACATGCGATTCATCCTTTCTCGTAACATGCCCATACCATGCTAACCTTTTACTCCTTATCTTCTCTACCGCTGGGGCTACTCTTAAACAAACTATATTTGACAACCAAAAACACAGATACAAAAGAGCTTTTACATATCTTTCAGTTTATAAATAAAACAAAAGCTAAATGCTACAAGATTTCCAGACAGGTCGTATAAAACAAATCAAACAGGATTTATTTCGTCCTTCGGAGAATCATTAGGGCATTGATATCGAAAACAAAGAATGCAAAAACCTGAGCAAATTTTAAAAACCAGTTTTAAATACGAGTATAACTAAAACATGAAAATACAATTGAACGTTAAAATGCAGGTTTTATGCTGGGTTTCTGCAGTTCCCACATATTTTGCTATTACTTAGCAATTAGTGTTAGATGGACCTAAGTATGAGAATAGTAAAACTCAATTGACATATTTCGGAAAATCATTTCACGAAGTTATCCAACCAAAAACACTAACGGATGGTTAAACGTAGCTGGGAAACCGACCATTAAGTGAAGAGTGGCCTTTAAACTTTAAATAAAAAATTTCGAAAAAACGCTTAGTTGTAAAAATGTCGCCTTAGAAAAATTGTTCATATAATTGTTTCATTACATTTGCAAACCTAGATAATACTAAAACTTTGGAGTACGTAAATTTAACATTTACGCAAAATCTTTCTGAGTACAGAATTTTATTATCACACAAAAAAATTATACAAAAATGACAAAAACTATGAATAATATATGAGACACATTCATCTTTGATCCTCTCAAAGACTAAATTTGCTTAAGTGTTAGTACAAAAAAAGTTTAAAGCTATTTTTTGCAAGTGTCATGGCATCAATAAATTGCACGAAGCCAAATTTAACAATGTCTAAATTTTAAAAAAGTTATCACATCTCATTCATCTTCTAAACTACGGAAAACGGAAGACAGTTTATATTTTATTTTTTACTAGCATTCGCCCGCGACTACGTCCACGTGGAATTTAAAAAAAAACAAAAACAAGTAGCCTATGTGTTCTTCCAGACTACCCTCTAAATCTATGCCAAATTTCATCGAAATCCGTTCAGCACAAAACTGCCTAAAGGCTACAAACTTTAACAATCCATCCATCTTTTACTGTGGTAGAGCCCGCTTTAACATCTTCGAACGAATGGGCCGGCTCGTCCGGTGGACCACACAGAAAACAGGCGTGAAATGGAAGCAGATCCGCATTTCATCCGACGAGTGTGGTGCCGGAGGCTTGATTTTAGTCCCTTTTTCCTTTCCACACACACACATAAAATGTGTATGTATGTGCTTCATAGACTTCTTATAAGTTTTCAGGACATTTTGTATGAAAAATTACTAAAAATACTGCTATTGACAGTTTTAATTCGTTGTATACATGACGAATGAAAGAGTTTAAAAATAATTACAGCATTTCAAAGTTGGTGGTAAAAATGGATTTTTAAGAAAACTTTCAAACATTTCTTTACTTTGTTAGTATTTGACATAAGCAAAAATTCATTCAATTGTATCAAAAAATCAAATAACTTTTTTATTCCCCTAAAATTGGTAAACATGAATTGGACTTTAACGTTAGATATGAAAGCATCGAATCCCAAAATACTTTTGAACCCTCAATCAAAGGAACATAAAAACACCGTATTTAAAAAAGCTTTATTCCAGATGTGGTCCGCGACATTTCACTTAATAGAATTGTCTCGTATCAAACGTGGAATCTCGGCATTCGAGTATTTATCTACAGGTTTGCTGAACTGTGTATCACAGTTCGATAGACGTTCGACCTCAACGCAGGTCCAGTCACTCCTAACATAACGTAAACTGTATAAGTTAGCCAGATTAAAATGTTATTAGAATTATTTATAGTGCTTTTAATTGTTTCAAAAACACAATTAATCAGTTCTGATGAAATAACAGTGGAAACTGTGAACAGTGACGAAGAAATAACCATCGAAAATGTTTATAACGAAAATATTGTGCCTTTTGACTTAAGAACAGTTAAAACGAATATTGATTTTAAAATTCGTGCAAAAAGTAAGAGAAAAAATGGAAGACAAGAACGTTCGCAATTTAATAACCCTTTCATAGACATAATTGCCCATGTTGTTGGGAGTCACTCAAGCTCTAAAGCGACAAATTTCTTCAACTTCCTGCAGGATCAATATCCTTTACCTGGAGGTAAGCTTATTCAGTAAGTTCAACTAGTAATTTAATAATATAAATTGAATCGATAAATGAATATAACCCTCCTGGGAATAATAGATTTTGACTGTAATCGATATACAGTAGAACCTCGATAACTCAAACCTCGGTAACTTAAAAACCTCTATAACTTCAAAAAATAATATGTCACTTCACATCAGAGCCTAAAACCTTTACCACATAGGCCCTTGATAACTTAAAACCTCTATAACTTAAAGTATTTTGCGCTTCCCTTGGACTAACTTATCGAGGTTCTACTGTATTATTGGAGTTCTAATCAGACATCGACGATGTAAGAAATATTTACCTCAATTTGATCGTATCCTCGGACGTCCCATTCATTCCTTTCTCAATATTTCCCGTAAAACAAGGACAACAATATGTTTTCGTACCGTTTTATTCAAGCAATACCAAGAGCGTTGCTGTTCCAGTGAAAAACAAATAACAATCAACGCCAGTCCATCCCATTTACATCACATCATCTTGGTTATTATTTCTATATCAAGATCTTAAGTTTGAGTTCAAAGATCTTTGAATCTCTTCACCGATATGTGCCAGTTGTATGCATTTGGCTTCACTGTAAGAGCGCTGTATTTACATGTGGAAATTGAAAATCAAACATCACATTAGCACATGACAGATATCGAACCCAGGAACGTGCAAATTACAAAAACTTCTGACCCACGGACTATTTATTCATCATTTATTAATTTTGATATAGTCTATGAATTACAAATAATTACAGTCTATGTTTGTGTCAAGGTTGGCTAATTTCTAATTAAGTTCTAATAAAAAAGTTGCAAAATGTACAATTATTTTTTATTTTTAAACATAGCTGAGATAAACTACTTAAAACGCAGAGGTCATTTTCCGGTGCAATTAATGCAAATTAAAAATTATTTTATCTATATTGTATACACAACCGGCTAATATTTTAGTTGCAATTAATCAAATTTATTTTAAACGCGTAAAAAAAAGTTACTTTGAGCGTCGGTGGTTCAGTGGTTTAAGCACTTGACTTGTAATCTACAGGTCTTGGGTTCGAATTCCGCTTTGTACCAATGTGATTTTCGAATTTTCAATATGTACATAATTTACCCGACGTTCTTACGGTGAAGAAAACATCGTGATGCAACTTGCACATATCGGCGAAGAAATTCAACAATATGTGTAAATTCAACCAACCCGCAGTGGGCTAGCGTGGTTGACTATGGTCACCCCTTATTAGGGAAGGCTCCGAGCCCCTCGATGGGGACATATAGTGAGCTTGTGATGATGATGATGTTTTTAAACGCATTAAAAATAATATCTAGACATGCAGTGAAATCTTTAGGTGTTTCAAGTAGTATAAACGATGTGATTGGATTTCATATAATTAAAACTTACCAAAAGCAAAGGCGGTAAAACAAAACACGTGAGTTGAATTAAATATCGTGACGCCTTAATAAATGAGTCTTCCTTTGATTTGCTTGTTGCCTTGACACGGCTGAATAATAATAATTATACAAGAGACGTTTATGGTAATCCTCCATCAAAATAACACACAAAACACTTGTATATTTCCTCTAGCCTCTAAAATCCATAAATGGACCAAACCAACGACAAGACTTGACTTACAAAACTATTTAACTACGTCGTAGTCTTTGACTACAAAAAAAAAACAAAAAAATGGGACCCACCTGAAAGCATTACCTTTTGGATAAAAAAAGAATTATCAAAATCGGTCCGCTAGCAACGGAGTTACGCCGTTACACACATAAAAAAATATATGAAAACATACAGAGGATTGAGTACCTCCTTCTTTTGGGAAGTCGGTCAAAAAGACAAGAAAATTATACATCTCCCATTCTCTTAAAATTGCCATTCATATCAGCCAAAGTAATCAATGCAGGCAGTGTACCCTTTATTATTGGGTCAGTTAGGTTTACTAAGTGCGGTTAGAAATTCGATACTTAAATTTGAGAAGACCGAAACTCAGATGTACTCAAACGATATTATCCAAAACCACATTACCAGAAACCGAGGCAAATGCAAACCACACATTCAGAAATACCATTGGGATAATTCTTAATCACTTAGAACATCAACTTCTATGACATTACTTATAAAGAACTAGCTGTAGCCCGCGACTTCGTCCACGCAATATGAAAATAAAAAAGTAGCCTATAATATGCTCGTCTATGTCAGCTACCCTTCAGTAAAAGTGCGGTCGATATCGGCTTAGCCGTTTCGGAGATTACTAGGAACAAACGCGGCTTGCGAACAGACAGATAAAAAAAAAAATTACAATTTTCGTTAGCAGCAACGCAAATGCATCATCTTCCCGAAATCTTGAATTTTTCTTTTGATTTTGACAGACACTCCAATTTTATTTCATTTATAGATTTCACCAAGGTTTTTAACTCTTATAAAACATTTCCTTTCCAGGTCGTCAAACTCCCCTACCGGAGTACGACTTCGTGATAGTCGGCGCTGGTTCCGCCGGCTGTGTGTTAGCGTCGCGTTTAACTGAGAATAGGAATGTGACAGTGCTCCTGATAGAGACTGGAAAGCCGGAGATGCTGTTAACTGATATACCAGCTATCGCACCGTATTTCCAAGCAACGCCATACGTCTGGCATTATTACATGGAACCGCAAGCTGGTGTTTGTTTAGGTAAGTTTCCATTAGACGTCTTTTAAAGCGTTATACAAGGACTCCGGAAAAGAATTAGAATCATAACCATTATTTTAAACAGATCTAGGTTAGGCTTGAGAGGTCAACATTGTTTACATGCATGCAGCGTAATAGTGCATTAACCTTGATCTTTACAGTAGTTACAAATTAAGACCGCGCACATTTCAGTCCTTCCTAAAGTTATCTTTACTTATGTAAAAATCTAGAATTCATTAAAATTAAAAAAAAAAACAACCAATTGTGTGAGCATGGACAGAGTCATGTTTTAAAAAGTTATCTAGAATCAACTTTAAAAATAGGTTGTTGCTCTATTTACCTGAATAGAACAACATTTTGAGTATTCTTGCATTTCATTCCATTACCTTTTCATCTATGTCTTCGTGGATTAGTGATGGGGATTCAAATGTTTCCCTCGATTGACATAGATGAACACTGTACAGTCATATGAGTTTATTCCAGACTTGAGAAATTCATCTGAACTTTTTAAAATGTTTTCTATCAGGTATGGAAAACGGTAGATGTTTCTGGCCTCGCGGCAACGCGGTCGGAGGGACGAGTGTAATCAACTACATGATCTACACGAGAGGCAGACCTGAGGAATGGGACAGAATAGCTGCTGCCGGGAATTATGGCTGGTGCGTATTTATTGTTTCGTAAAGAAAAATAACTGTAATTTTGCTAATGCACAGCTATATGGACCTGTTTTTATCTAAACACGTACATTTATCACTAAATTGTGAATGAAAAATACATTAAATTAAAGACAATAAATTTTATCTTACTAATATTATGGGAAACTTTGGATAGATAGATGTTTGTTAGAATGTATCTAAACAGCTTAACGGATCTTGATTAAATTTGGCACATATGTGGAACATAATCTGGAAGAGAACATAGGCTAGTTACAAATTCTTTTTTAATTCCGCACAGCCGCAGTTGCGGTCAAAAGTTAGTGTTTAATAAAAAACGAAGAACGCGGAAACATTTTTCATCCGTGGAGTTCAATGAACTAAAAATGCTGATATTAAAATCCGAACAGCGCAGGATTACTGGCAGCTTTTTTGTATTCATCAACGGCCTATTTGGCTTCACTCATAAATATTTATACAATTAAGTTTATTTTTAACTTCAATTAGTACCTGGCGGAATGCAATGTACTTAAAGAAGAGAAAACCTGTTATTTAAAAAACAACTTGTATCTTTTATACATTAAAAGTATCGAGAGTAAGGGTCGTTGTCCAGTAAATTAATTCAATTGACCTCATAAATAGTAAACATATATGTATGTATATGTATTCAATGAATTATATTAAAATCAATATGCTAAATGTATAAAGATATAATAAAAAAACTAATTAAGCTGGGAGCTAAAATAGTCTAACTTTAGACATAAACTTCTTCTGTGTTCAGATTTTTTGCTGTATTAAAACACAATCAAAAATTCTTTCTTTTCAGGTCATATAAGGAAGTTGTGGAATATTATAAAAAATCAGAGAGGGCCAAATTGGACGGGTTCGAAAAAAGACCTCACAGAAATCGAGATGGAGTGCTTCCTGTGGAATTTGTGCCAATTAAGTGAGTTAAAATTCCTTACTTTTTATTACATTTGGAAGAGAATCTTCACCGTCAATCTACAATAAAAATTTATTAAAATATTTCTATTTCAGAACCAAATTAATAAAGGCGTTCTTAGACGCTGGAAGAATACTTGGACATCCAACAGTCGATTACAACGCTCCAGAGAAAATGGGTTTCGGGAAAGTCCAGGTGACAATGTCTATGGGCCGCAGATTCAGTGCCGCAAAAGCATTCTTACATACACACAAAAACAGACCTAATTTACACATTCTACCCGAAACCAGAGCAACGAAAGTATTGATAGATCCTCAAACCAAAACAGCATACGGTGTCGAGTATGTGCGCAATGACGTGTTACAAAGAGTGACTGTACGCAAAGAAGTAATTCTGTCTGCTGGACCTATAGCATCTCCACAATTATTAATGTTATCAGGAGTAGGTCCCAAAGATCACTTAAACTCAGTCGGGATAAACGTTATCCAAGATCTTCCAGTAGGAAAAATTCTTTACGATCACATTTGTTTCCCCGGACTCGTATTTACTGTAAATGAAACAAATATTAGCTTCCTCGAATCTCAAGCATCTCGTATACCAGTAGTTGTGCAGTGGCTTAAAAATGGAGACGGTCCAATATCATCGCCAGGCGGAGTAGAAGGAATTGGATATATTAAAACTCCGATTTCAGATGATCCAGAGTTAGTTCCAGATATTGAACTTATCAGTATTGGAGGTTCAATAGTTTCCGACGGAGGACCGGGGGGAAGTAAAGCTGTACGAAAAGGAATGAGAATAACAGAGAATGTTTTCAATAGTGCATTTGGAGCTATAGACAACACGAATACATGGAGTACATTCCCTATGTTATTGAAACCAAAATCTATCGGATATTTAGAATTGAAAGACAGTAATCCCTTCAGTCATCCGAAGATGTATGGTAATTATTTGACTGATCCCCGCGACGTGGCGACATTCGTAGCAGCGATTCGACATGTGCAAGAATTGACAATGACTGAACCGTTCCAAAAATATGGTACTAAACTGTATCAGGCTAACTATCCAACTTGTCGTGGTTTACAATTCAACTCTGATGAATACTGGGAGTGTGCAGTGCGAACTCTTACGGCGACATTGCATCACCAGGTGGCGACAACTCGTATGGGACCTATAAGCGATCCTTCGGCTGTGGTAGACCCTGAACTAAGAGTGTACGGTATAAAAAGGCTACGTGTCGTCGACACCGGTGTAATACCGGTTCCAATCTCCGCTCACACAAATGCCCCCGGTATAATGATAGGTGAAAAGGCTGCTGACATGATAAAACTATCTTGGAATATATTTTAATCAAAATTGTGTCGGAAAGGTGCTTCTTTATTTTTCCGATGAAATATAAAATCAAAAAACGAAAATTGTATGTTTTTTTTACATTCCGTATTAAAAAACAAAACATGATCACAATTTAAGCGCTCGTATTTGTTAGTCCATAACGAATCGCTGCATTTGGTCCACATAAAATTGATGACTGATCACTCTTCTTATTTTAAGTACGCATAAACAAAACAGCCTTAGCTATCCAGTAATCTCAAGATTTTCTATTAGCAATAACATTTGATCTTAATTGTTGCTATTAAACATTTATCAGGCGTTGCAAATAAATTATGCACAGCGTATCAACATATTTGTAACATCGAAATAATTTTGGATTAAAAGCGATCACGAATTGAAAAACCTTAAAGAAACGCACGGTGCTTAAATTTTTATTCTTTGCACAGGTTCACTAACCTGTGTATTGTTTTAAATTCTTAAAGGCGTCCTTAAATGCAAGATAAAATCCTTAAATTACCTTGTTAGGACGATACAAACGTGTACTGGATGTTACTTATCATATTTCTACGATTCTTAATTCTCGAACTGTTATGCTTTTTAGTCGCTATAAATGGATAGGCTTCATTGCTTAGAAATTTATTTTATCTTTATTACGAGTTAAACACGCCTGTTGGTGTTAATGACAATCAATTTTATTTCCGTTATTAGTTCGGAACCACACCACCACAACCAACCGAGAACGTTAGAGCGAAAATGACAATGGTCAAATAGTTCACGTTTTAATGCCTGTCTATTAATAGAGGTCAGTGTTATCACCTCATGAAACATTAGCTGACGATATCTGATACATTATTTCTACTTTTGTAGTGCCGGGTTTCAACTAAAAATAAAGTGGCACATTTATATTACGACCATTAACAATTTCTCGAATATTTTAAGCTATTTGCGATTCCGCAAGACAATCGTTAAAAAAAGACGCTGCCTCCTGAAACACAGTTATTACTAGCTCAGGAGACAGAGTCCCACTAACTGTACTAAACTGTTTTATCAATAAAGATTTATTTTTATTTAAGACCTAATTCAACACATCAACTTTGTTTATAAATAACATTTGAAATATCATAAAATATAATTTATCTACGAAGCTAGTTATTTTCGGCAATACTGTTACCCAAGTAACTTAATGATCGCCTCACAGTTAATTACCTTCAACGAATTTAATTCCATGTGAAAAAAAAAATAAACCGGTCGAAGTAACTTTGGGATGGTAAACAAAATACATATCGCATGAAATCTTTTAGATGGAGCACACATTTAAATAAGAATTGACACTGGGTAGTCCTTTAGTCTGGTGATTAAAAAGTGTAATAGTGATTAATTTAATATTTACTAATTTATTAATTTAAGGGTATTTTCTGAAATTAATTCCTACTGGATAAATGTGTTTGTTTATATTTTGTGCTTGAATTCTAAAATTGTTTCATAATGTTCCTAAATCAATTGATAATAACGTTAATACTAAATAGTGTACTGGCTGAAAACAATCACAGTAATTATAAAAAAGAAATTTCATTAGAAGATTATGCTTCTTCCCGTCAGTGTGTATTCTGTGCTAATCCGCAGAGGAATGTTAGGGAGGTACAAGGAAGGCCTAAGAGTCAAATTTTAGATGCAATGTTGAAGACTCCCATGTTGCAAACGTATGCCAATGTACCAGATGTTTTCTCAATACTACGGGATAATTACGATCTCCCTAAAGGTATGTACTTTTTAAATATGCATGATCATTATTTTAAGACATCATCAACGCCAATCCAATATTGGACATAGGATCATTATCATCATCAGCTCACTATACGTCCCCACCGAGGGGGCTTGGAGCCTACCTTAAGGTATGGTGCCTAGGCCATAGTCAACCACGCTGGCCCACTGCAGGTTGGTTGACTTCACACATATCTTTAAATTTCGTAACCGATTTGTGCAGGACATAGGATGCCTTCGACAAAATGCGATCCTGGCTATTTTAATCTTATTAGATATTTTTTTTGTGTATTAATCAACACCCATAGGCTATTGATGCTAGAAAGATCGGTAGCTGAAAATGAATTTAGAAGAATTCAGATATTTTCAAAATAGAGTAATAATATGAAAGAATTTGTAAATCTTATCACAATTTCTTTAACCAATATACACTTTTAATTGTAACCAGTTAGCTGCCATTACTTAATAAAATCATACTAATATTATAAATCCGAAAATTTACATGGATGTTTGTTAGAGTTTGTAGCCTAAAGAACTAAACGGATCTCGAAGAAATTTGGCATAAATGGACCTAGACTGGAAGAACCCATATTTACTTTTATTTTTTTTTTCACGCGGACGGAGTCGCCGGCGAAAGCTAGTAAATAAATAATGCAAGATTTTACGTTAACCTTACATAAATTACATAAGACGACGTAATTTTAGAACAAAGTAACAAGGAACTTGAAACGCGAAGGTTCAATGACACGACACTGGCATATTATTACAGAAGCCAAAAAAAGTTTAATGACTCTCAGTAGTTCGGTAATTTAATTTAACTGTATTACTCTTGACCGAAGTTTTATTCTTTTTTATATTGTTTAATCTTGATCTCAGTCATATTCACAAAATACCAGCTTACGCTCGACTATGTCCGCGCGGAATTATAAAAACTTAGTACTTTGTGCTACATCTATGCCAAATTTTACTGTAACCCGTTCAGCAGTTTAGGCTACAAACTCTAACAACCATCCATCCATATAAACTTTCCCATGTATATTATTACTAAGAAAAGAAAATATGCTAGAAATAGGACATGGATGCACCTAATCTAGTGACGAATACTGCAAGGTTTTTTATAACTACATTTTATACTAGTTGCTGCTAGCGACTTCGCCCACGTGAAATTTAAAAATATAGCCTACCATATGTTACTAACTAATAACGTAGCCTTTTAATACAGAAAGATATTTTTAAATTGGCCCAGTAGTTTTTGAATTATTTCAATACATACAAAAATACACATCTTTCATTTATAATATTAGTATTGATTCGTAGATAAATAAACAAATAAGATAAGGACTTCTAAAAGGACATCGACCTCAAAATTATACCAATGTAAAAATCCGTTACTTACAAACTTGTTACAAACAAGAAATGTATATATATATTATCTGTATATTTATAATATAACTTTTCAGGATTCAATGGACCCTTAGTTGAGTACGACTTCATAGTGGTCGGAGCGGGGTCGGCAGGGAGCGTGCTCGCTGCCAGACTTAGTGCACGCCGTAAAGCAACTGTTTTACTATTAGAGGCTGGTGTAGGAGAGTCCATATTGACAGGGGTACCAATCTTAGCACCATTGTTTCAACAGACGGATTATGTATGGCCATACTTTATGGAACGACAACCTGGAGTTTGTATGGGTGAGTTGGAGCATACTTTTTTAATTAGGAACCTTTAAACGGAGATAATCTTTGCAGACGCCATTAATATTTATAACATTTTTTTTGTAACCTGATTTTTTTTATACTAACTAGGAACGTTTAAATGGAATAATTTTTCCTGTTAAATATAAGGTTAGAAAAAAATTGCTCATTTAAATATCTTCATAATAAAGTATCGAATAAAAAAAAACATCATATTCTGTGTATTCTTCCGTATTTTTATATCTTTTCATTTGAAAAATCTACGTAAATATTAAAAAAGGATCATCATCATCATCATCACCAGCTCACTATACGTCCCCACCGAGGGGCTCCGAGCCTACCCTAAAGTTAGGGTGAGTAGGCCATAGTCAACCACGCTGACCAAGTGCGGGTTGGTTGACTTCACACATATCTTTGAATTTCTTCGCCGATATGTGCAGGTTGCATCACGATGTTTTCCTTCACCGTAAGAACGTCGGGTAAATTATGTACATATGAAAATTCGAAAAATCGAAAATCACATTGGTACATGGCGGCGGGATTCGAACCCAAGACCTGTAGATTACAAGTCAAGTGCTTAAACCACTGAGCCACCGACGCTCCTTAAGAAAGGATATTCAATGTCAATTTTGCATACTAACAGATACATAAATCATTATTTATAACCAAACAAAGAATAAAAATTTTGTCCCTAGTGCTATACTCGGCTTTTTTATGACATCACTTTCGAATAAGCAAGGTGATTAGTTCCATATTTGTCCGCGATGTGGCGTGGTTTTAATTTTTGTTCAGACAATAAATTGATTTTACAGGTATGGAAAATGAGCGTTGCTTCTGGCCAAGAGGCAAGGCAGTTGGAGGCACGAGCGTTGTCAATTACATGATATACACCCGTGGGCTACCTGAGGATTGGGACAGAATCGCTGCCGCTGGAAATTACGGATGGTGTGTCTACCCTTATATTAGCATTATTATATTTTTACTTAAATGAATGAATACGCATTTATTGCCACAAAAAATAAATAACATAAACGGACTTATTCTAAAGAAACATAAAATCGTGGCCAGCTCAGCGTATTCCAGGAGAGACTAAGCCGTTCCTGCGCTGATTTTCAGCTGGCTCCTTCGCACTCACGTATATTATAGTTAAATTTAACAGGGTAACCTGCCGTACTAATTACGTATACAGAGACAAAACGCAAAAATAAACATAAACAAAACAAAAATTAACTTACTTAACTATAATAAAAATCTAAATCAAAAAGATCACATTAAGAATGAATTTGAGTATGTAGATCTATTTTTACAAATTATTTCGCAACAAAAATGTAGATAGCTGACGTAGATTACTACGTCATACTATACCTTTATCGGACTTAACTATTTTATCTTTCCTGTCGACTAACACATTCCTATCTCAATTGTGTTCATCAAATTTACACAGATAATAGACCAATCTATAGTAAAATTATAATTAAGAAAGATTTGAATGTTTTCACTGTAACTATTGAACCGATTTCAAAAATTCTTACGGCAAGAAAAATCTAAACTATCACTGAGTTGTCGAAATGTAACATTATTACGAAAGTAACAATTTGCTTTTTAAAAAATCTAGTAATGAAGACTGTTCTTTATAAGGCGTAAATAAAAAGTAATGAAATTCCAGGTCTTACAGAGAAGTATTACCATATTATATGAAGTCGGAAAATGCAAATCTCAAAGGCCAGTCTAAATCACCATGGCACGGACGAGACGGCGAACTAACAGTAGAAGATGTACCATTTAGGTAAATAATAAATAATTTAACAGTGGTAGAGCCCGTTTTAACATCTTCGCACGAATGGGCTTGCCCGGTACAACCATGACCACACAGAAGACAGGCGTGAAGTGGGAGCAACTTCGCGTATCGTCTGATTAGTGTGGTGCCAGAGGCCCAATTAAAGTCTCTTTCTCTTACCTTTCCTTATAAGGGAAAAGATGTAAAGGGAAAGTGGATTTGACGGCGAAGGAAATATCCTCTTTATATGCGTCTCCACCTCCGTCGATTAGGGTAGGCAACGCATCTGCAATTGCGGATGTCTACGGGTAGCGGTCGCTTCGCCATTTTGGTAAATTCAGGCGGTCGCTTGCTTGTTTGCCACCTTATATTACATAAAAATATATGTACTATTTCCAATACTTACAGTAAAAACAACTTGCCTTATTTCAGATCAAAACTATCAAAAGCATTTTTAGACGGAGTGAAGTATTTGGGACATCGAATAGTAGATTACAACAGCCCTGACGGATTCGGATTTAATTATATTCAAGCGACGATAAACCGTGGAGTCAGGATGAGTAGTGCAAAGGCATTCTTACATAAACATAAAAACCGAAAGACCCTTCACATTCTGCCAAACAGTCGAGTCACAAGGGTTTTAATCGATCCTACAACTAAGACGGCTTATGGTGTAGAATTCCAAAGGAACGGTCAAGTGTATCAAATTCGAGCAAAAAAAGAAGTTATACTATCGGCCGGTCCTATTGAATCCCCGCATTTGTTAATGCTGTCGGGCGTTGGACCAAGAGCCCATTTAGAATCTTTAAGCATACCTGTGATACAAGACTTGCCTGTCGGTCAAACGCTTTACGACCACATATCCTTTCCCGCTTTAGCGTACACTCTCAATACTACGAGATTAACTATAGCTGTGAGAAATGTCGGAATCGTTGAGACTGCTGTACAATTAACACAATTCGGTGACGGTCCTATGACATCACTAGCTGGAGTTGAAACCATAGGGTATTTAAAAACAAACGTCTCTGATGAAATCGGTGATTACCCTGATATTGAATTAATTGGAAGCTGCGCATCTATGGCAACTGATGAAGGACAGTTGGTCTCGAAAGGCTTAAGGGTAGCGGATTGGTTGTACAACGACGTATACAAACCTTTGGAGAAGACAGAAAGCTTCACGATATTAATGATGTTACTACATCCAAAATCTAAAGGCTACATAAAGCTAAAATCGAGAAATCCTTTTGAACAACCGGCGTTATACGGCAATTACTTGCAGCATCCAAAAGACATCGCAACACTAATCGCTTCTATAAGATACATTAACAAATTAGTCGAAACACCTCCATTTCAGAAGTACGGTGCTAAATTACATAAGAAAAAGTTTCCCAATTGCAAACAATATAAATTCGACAGCGACAATTATTGGGAATGCGCGGTTCGTACTGTGACATCGACCCTGCATCATCAGATATCTACATGCAGGATGGGTCCATCAACAGATCCTGATGCAGTAGTGGACCCGGAACTGAGAGTGTATGGCGTTAGGAATCTTCGTGTGATAGACAGCAGTGTTATACCGAAGACAATCGCTGCGCATACTAACGCCCCCGCAATAATGATTGGCGAGAAAGGTGCAGACATGATAAAGAACACGTGGGGTTTGATTTAAATATACAGATTAAGTAAACCACGAATAGGGTGATATTCCACAGATAAAAAAATACGAGGGACTTTAATTGTGCTTCTTTTTTTAAGAAGATCTTAGAGCGATTGTCTCGAGGATTGAGCATTTCATTATTGTTAAAATAAATAGTATTAAAACATATTAGAAGAGACACGAGATTACAGCAGTGAATATCAATAGCAAAATGGATGAAGAAATCGATTACGCGTTGTATTAGTTATCTTAAGATTTCGTATACTAAATACATTGTAATAATTAACTGTCATAGCAACGCAAATATTTGTTATTTTGTTTTTTGAATTCAGTGGCAAATATTATCGGGATATCTTGATCTTGATAAGAGATCATATCATGTTTGCGTTTATCTGCATGTAAACTTTGTCTATAGAGCCAGAACAAATACGTTACCAAAAATAAGAAATATCTAGCAGCGTCACAAAGCAGTACATACTACCAACCAATTGATAATTAAAAAATTGTTCAGATATAATATATGTTTATAGACTGATTTTTATTTTACAGTTAATCAGAATTGCAGAGGGAGTTTCCCTTTTTGATAAGCAGCACATTAGGTTCCGTCATTGTAGTCAAAATGATTCATATGGAAATGATGTCAATTCCGTTAATGACAAATAAATGTTCGTTATCAGGAATCTTTTGTTTGTTATCTATAGTTGATTTAAGGACATTTTCAATCCTATGGAAGTCAAAACTATTACTTACGTACCCTTCATTTAGTTGCTTTGAAATGCAGTAAATTCTATTTTTTACTGATCTACTATAAACCATTGAGAGTACGCATTTTTTTCTTTTACCAATACAAAACCAATTAAATTAGTTTAATATAAAAACGATAAATAAACCTCAATGGTTTTTCACTAGGTTTTTTTTTAATTTAACGCACTACGTAAGATAAGTACTTATTTGTCCTATAAATTCAACAGCACAAACTTGTTTTTATTAATTTGATACAATCAAAACGCATCTGGCAACCTCGTAGTTTACTTTTATGAGGGGTGAACTAAACAATAGGATGAAATCAAAATGGCCGACGCATCAGGGGTTGTCCCCTTCGTAATCTCACACATTATCGGTCTCTTTTGAATCTTTTTATTTATAGTATTTTTGTATGTAATGAAATAACTCAAAAACTACTATTTTAAAAATGTCTTTCACTAATAAATAGCTACGTTATAGCTGAGTAACATAGCCTAATCAATACAGTTTCATTTCTGCGCAGACGAAGACGCGAGCTACAGCTAGTTATTATACATAGGAAAGTGTGTCATATATAAATAGATAGTAAGTCATTGTGTCGTTAGTTTGACTAATGTGGTAATGGTTGCTATCATTATACAAATGTTAAAACGATTTCATATAAAATGGTAACGATATAAAAATAATGAAGACAGTGATCAAATAAAAGAGGCAATTGTGTTTAGTAATAAGAATTTAGACCGATTATTCGTACTCGACGTCGCTCTTTTTCGGTACTAACATTAATAATACTGGGTACTATATTTTGCTTAAAACTTTACTTATATTGGTGTTCGATTAATTAAATTTTCAATTGAAATACGACTATTGACCACATATCTAAGATTCCGAAACCGCAGTACAATTCGAAACAAAATATCATGTATCTATACTAATATAATAAAGCGTAAACACACACTTCTTTGTGGCGTAAGATGTCAGCAATTACTGCATATTTTTGGATAATTCTTTATTTTAATAAAAAGCCCTACACTTGTCACGCTTTAGGCTATATATTTTCACGCCATTAAACTTGGGGGGTAAATAAATCGGAGAAAAGCTACGAGCTACCGTAAGCTACGAGCTGCCAACACCGAGGTTATCATTGAAGCATTTGAATTTTGTCATTTCACAAATATAAACAATAAAATGAAGTTTTTATAATTTCGCGCGGATGAAGTCACACGGGAACAGCTAGTGTTCGAATAAAAACGAACATAAAATTACTGTTAATGAAGAACGTAGACGAGACCGGTTAAAGGTCGGGTAAAGTAGGAGGAAGTTTTAATCAAAATCAACTCTAAGTATTACGAACAAAGTTCGCAAAAAGAAATACCTATGTAGTTGTTTGCCTCAATAGTGGTACAAACCCGTGCCATTTTTACTGCGGTTTTCATCAACTTGATTCCGGTTCCTTAGATTATTTTCTATTCTATTACGATGTTATAGCGCTGAATAAACCTGCTGTTGTCAAACCTTGTCTTCGGCTGATCTATGACTATGATATGAATCTTTAGATTTTGAGTATTTCAAGTTTCACGTAGGAGACCTCTTTCCTTTTGGGCTATTGATGTTGAATGTTTTACTGCCGACCTTGTACTGGATTCAAGAGTGAACATCAAACTATGCATAAGCGTGGATTTCCACTACCGAAAATCATATACCTTTCATCCTCCTAGCGAAAATATGACAGTTTTTTGACGTGTCTTCGCTGATTATTCACTGGTAACAAATTGTTATAATTTCTATAATTTCAGGCGCTACTCATACCTTCATAATAGTTGACCATTGAAATACGTCAATAAACAAAACACTGTAGTCATAAAAACGTAATTTACTATAGACACTGTAATGGACTTTCTGACTCATAGATGCTATGCCCAATTTAGATCGAACATACTTCAGAAATTTGATAATACACTAGTTACTAACCTATTCATTTTTTCGTGTAGTTATTTTGTACAATGTACAAAAAATATACAGAAACATACGAGTATATACTATTAACATAAGTTAAGTGTCTAGTACTACCATTTTGTGACCTTCGACGGTACTGACATTGAAAACAATCATAATTAAGTCATTTTATATGGAATGGGCGCTGGTCGTATAAACACAACACATCCAAATTTGCAAATCGTAACTTATACGTAAAAAAATGTGCATATTCAAATCAGTTTAACAAAAACAAATGAGTATGTTTCATAATTATAAAAGCTACTAAGTAATTAATAATTATAAAACATTGAAACATGTTTTCATGTTCAAAAAGTAATGTAAATCACTTCTTAACATAAAATCTCGGTTGTCAACATCATGATGATGATACATTCAGAATATTATGATAAGGAAAACACTGCAAATTACCTGAGACTATAAGTGCCTCGTTTGGCCCAACAGTGTGAATATTGCCCATATTTCTCCACAAGATACACTCAACACTTAACACTGTTACAATTATCAATCACAATACGCGACGCTAATCTTTAAAATCTCGACTTCAATAGTACGTAAACGGATTTATTTACACAAGGACTAAAAAAAATCGTATCGTAATAAAACTATAGTAGGTTTCGCAGTTGTCAGATTGAATTGAATGTCAAAAAAATTCATTCAAAACTCATGCGCGCGCATACCACAGCGTCAGACATGTTTACATACTGCGTCGTACGCATACGTAATAAATTAGATAAAATCCCATTTAAGATAATAGTTTCGACAATTGTTATTTACTACCTTAAGTAAGAAATATCCATAAAATATTAAATCATCCTCGTTACCAAGTAATGTTTTTCTTATTTCTTTCCGTGAATCATATTGTTTTTGCTGTCATTTGTCATTGTCATTTGACAGTTTGCAAAATAAGTTTATGGTTTGCACTTATCAAAGACTATGTGATGACGACGATTCAAAAATGACTTAATAATTGTCCTTGCACTATTTCTTAGTAAACTAGAACAAGAACAAAAACTTCCCATTAACTACGTTTATAAGATACAATAGTCTTTATTTTTTCATTTTGGTGTAGATTCATTTAATGGAAATAAAATTATGTTCTTGCCTCCTAATAAAATTTTGACTCTATGGTGCAGACAAGTTGTGATTGTTTGTGAAGTGTGAACTATTTTGTGAATTTTAACGCTAATGCTATTATCAATAAGTTTTCTTGAACACTAAGAGAGATCCAAGTCTTCGTGAGTATTACAATATAAAAAAACAATTCATTCTTAACAAAAACAACACACGCCACCTCTTCCTCAAACCGAATTGACGGTATGTAACAACGACCACGAAGCTTTTTGACCACCTTATACCCTCCAAGATTAAACGTTTTTATTTGAATTCCAGCTGTAAGTAAACTAAATATACATAAGATGTCTGATACAAGTGACCTGGACCGTCAAATAGAACAATTGAAAAGATGCGAGATAATAATGGAGGCGGAGGTTAAGGCACTTTGTGCGAAAGCCCGCGAGATTCTTGTCGAAGAAAGTAACGTGCAACGAGTAGACTCACCAGTTACGGTAAATTTTAACTACAACAATAAATACATTACAGATATATCAATGTTTCATACAGTCTCCTTGTTTGGAACCATAAATGTCCTACTTTAACTTGCATTCAATGTTACTTGTTGAAAATTTTAGAGTATCACTGAATCAGTCTGGATTTAGCTCTATCACAATAGATTTATCATACACACAAACCCACATATACATTTTTCATGTCTTTCTTATTAATCAGGACATAACTTATATATGTTACATTGAATAAGTCATATGATTGTTTTTTATTTATAATAATTTCAGGTTGACAAATTTAGAAACCTGTATTTCATTTACAGGTTTGTGGTGACATTCATGGACAATTTTATGACCTTAAAGAGTTATTTAAAGTAGGTGGTGATGTTCCCGAGACGAATTACCTGTTTATGGGTGATTTTGTTGACAGAGGCTTTTATTCAGTCGAAACTTTCTTACTATTACTGGCATTGAAGGTAAACATTGTTGTATTTATTACAAAAATATGTTTTAAGAAAAAGAAGTGGACTATAATAAAAATTAAAGTAATGTTGTGTATAGCTCATCACATAACACAGATTTTAGTTCACCCAATTTTCATTGGCACACCAAATGAATGACTTGCATGCACTTTGCATGTACGCTGAGTGTAAATAATACCAGATAACCTAAATACCCAGGTTTTATTGCTTAATTAACAACATTTCTCTTAAAAAAGTAAACATATTGAAATTAAGGTAATTATGAAACTCCACCGATATGTATTTTTCTAGTAGTGGCACTAAATAGCTTCAGTGATCGACTTTAGCGCTCGCCATGAATAGTTATGTCTTAAATAATTAGTTAAGAATGTGTATATTAGAGGAAGTTTGAAAGTAGCACCAGTGGTGGAGAAATTGAGAAGCAAAAGGTTAGAGTGGTATGGACATGTTATGCGACAAAACAATGGGGGACATAAACCAGAAAGTGTTAAGAATGAATGTGGATGGCTACAAAGGATGAGGAAGACCAAAGAAAGTATGGATGAATTTGGTGAAAGTGGATATGCTTAAGAAAGGAGTGAATTCAGATATTACGGCTGATAGATGTATGGAAGAGCACCACATACTGTGCCGACCCTCCGTAAGGGATAAGGGCAAGTTGATAATGATGATGTCTCATAAGTTTAAAAAAATTATTGAAGTGCATTTTAAATTGGTTATTTTGTATATGTTAAAAAAGACCATTTACTGGTTCAAGAAATTCTATGATTGCAGGTTCGTTATCCAGACCGTATAACACTGATCCGTGGCAACCATGAGTCACGTCAGATCACACAAGTTTATGGATTCTACGATGAATGTTTAAGGAAATATGGTTCGATTACTGTGTGGAGGTAACTAAAGAATAATCTATGTTAAATATAGACAGTTATTAAACTAGAAGATATATGACAGACAGTGATTTATGTTGTTTTGTAAGTTACGAGGACAACAGTCAACTCCTGAAACAAATTTCAAACACTGCTTCACAAGTGACACAATACAAGCATGCCTTATTGTTTAAAACAATGTTACATACGAGCAGTCGCTCAGATTTTCGCAAATTTGGACCACCTGTTACGCTATTTGGACATCGCGGAATTTTCAAAATGTAGCTTATAAAATGCCCGTCCATATCAATTATCCTCGAGTGAAAGTTCTGTCGAAATCGGCTTCAGAGTGTTTGATATTTTTTTCTACAAATGACTTCCTTTAAAATATAGACGGACGGCCATATTAACAATACTTGTAAATGACTTGAAAACAAATTTAACTCCAATACGACAACGCAAATATGTCGAATGTTCCGTTGTGACGACTAGTAAAACACTAAGCTTGTTGGCGACTGAGCGCCGAGACTGCAACTGAGCCCGAGTCACTCCTCCCTGCCATGTGTTTTATAAAACTATCCCCCACTACACCTTCCGTTTTGTTGTTTTAAACAAAGATAAATAGTATTAATAAATAGCACAGATTAACAAATAACTTTTAAGAATATGGAATATATCAAAATAGTTAAAAGATAAAGATTACCCGGAACAAATGCGGCTTGCGGACAGACAGACAAAATTTTTTTAAATGCAATTTTCATTATTAGCAATACAAATACATCTTCCTGAAATCTGGGATTTTTCTTTTAATATTACAGACACTCTAATTTTATTATATGTATAGATTAAAAATTGAGTGATATGATAAAAATGTGATTAACTGATTTAATTGCATTTTAAAGGTACTGTACAGAAATCTTCGACTATTTATCTCTGTCAGCTATAATTGATGGAAGGATATTCTGTGTGCACGGCGGTCTCAGTCCCTCCATACAGACATTAGATCAGATACGTACGATAGATCGTAAACAAGAAGTACCTCATGATGGACCAATGTGTGATTTATTGTGGAGCGACCCTGAAGGTAAGGTTACGGCACTTAACCAACTATTTCTCTTACAACTAGCAAAAGATGGCAAATGTTTTTACACAAGAAAGGTATAGTCATGTTATCTATAAATCTATGAATAATATAAATACAACTCCTAAATTAGATAAAAAAAAATTAAATCGATTTCTCAATTTTATTTAAAGCGGCCAATACAATTTTTTTTTATTATTTTGGGAAATTTGCTAGTAAAAAGAAACTGTTATTGTACAAGAGTTGCTAATGTTATTTCGATGTTAAACAAAAATTTTACATGAACTCTTTTAGTTAGTAACAAATCGGATTTTTATTTGAACAAGGTATATGTAATAGAAAAAACTACCTTCTCACTACAGATGTCGCATGATCTGTTCTGAATAGTCAACACTTGTAACTAATTTGACTGAAGTCAAATTTCTTAATCTTACTAATATTATAAATGCGAAAGTTTAGATGGATGGATGGATAGATGCATGTTTGTTAGCGTTTGTAGCCTAAACGGCTGAACGGATCTCCATGAAATTTGGCACAGGTTTAAAGCATAGTCTGGAAGAACACATAGGCTACTTTTTATCCCTGGAATAGTTACGGTTTCCGTGGGATTCATTGATTTAGTTTTTTAATATTTACTCGATCATTCTGCAACGGTTCAACATATCTTATTGAAATTTGGCACAGATATAAAACAAAGTCTGAAGTAAACATGGGATAAGCTTCATCCCCGATAAGTGTCCGGTTCCAGAGGGATACGTAGCTTTTTGTTATTTATATAGTTCGTATGTTTTCTAATGCCACGCGGACGAAGTCGCGGGCAACAGCCCGTACTGGTATAAAGTACCGCTGGCCTCGCTTACTTGATAGTTGCAATATTTTTTCCTTACTTTAGATACTCAGGGGTGGGGTGTGTCGCCGCGTGGCGCGGGCTACCTGTTTGGGTCGGACGTGGTAGCACAGTTCAATGTATCCAATGACATCGACATGATCTGTCGCGCGCACCAGCTCGTCATGGAGGGCTACAAGTGGCACTTCAATGAGACCGTGCTCACAGTCTGGTCCGCACCTAATTATTGTTACAGGTTAGTAGACTGCTCTTAGACAATTTACATTCCATTTGGACTTGGGTTCAGGAATTAACGAGTAATATGTGTCTCTTAGATTGAGAGAATCGGTGGCTCAGTTGTTTAAGCACTTTACAAGTCTTGGGTTCGAATCCCGCCATGTACCAGCGTGATTTTTGAATTTCATTTATCTCACGTTTTTATGAATGAATGAATGATGAAAAAATTCGAATCAATTCAGAAATATGGGTGAAGTCAACCCACAGTGAGCCAGTATTGTGTTCTTTTGTTCTCTTTTACTTGTTAAATTATTTGATAGAAGATTTAACAAAAATGATTGCTAAATTTTGTTCTTTAATATGCTATGAGGATTTTTTACTCGGATTCTGTTCACTGCTTACTTGATTACACTCTATACTAATATTATAAAGAGGAAATATTTGTTTTTTATATGTATTGATATAACTCAAAAACTACTGGGCTGATTTTACAAATTCTTTCACCGTTACAAAGGTAATTTATCTGTGAATAACATAGACTATATGTATAACTATTTTGTAATTTCTTGCGGACGAAGTCGCAAGCAACAACTATGTACTATAAAATAATATATTTGTTCAGATGTGGCAATGTAGCGGCTATCCTAGAACTGAATGAGAACCTCCAGCGAGAGTTCACAATATTCGAGGCAGCTCCGCAGGAATCTCGAGGTGTGCCTTCGAAGAAACCTCAGGCGGATTACTTTTTATAATGTTTAATAGACAATTGAAGCCGGACGTATCCATGTAGTGATAAAACAATTTAACGTGTTTAGTGAATGAATGAGTGCTTAAGACCAATGTGAATGATTTCTGTGTAATGTAAGGATAATGGTTTTTATATGATGTGTCTGAAATATTCAATTGGAATTTAGATTAAATGATTTTTAAGAATTTGCAAGTTATAAACTAATTGGAAGTAATGCTCAAAATTTATTTTAAATTTTCATGTACAGTTCCCTTCGCTGTCGGTGAAGCATCTTGAAAACTGATTGTATAAACATTTTGTACATCCCTAATTTAAAAGGTAGAAATAATTTAAAAAACAAAATGCGTTTGTACAAAGAATTGTATAAATAAAATGTACTTACAGTAAATATTTCAGTGTACATCATATAAGAATTCATTATTAGAATTATTCTGTTTTTTTAACAAATAGCTATGCAATCTAAATCTTATTTCTCTACCATTCATATGATTTTGATCGTTTTGATGTGAAAAATAATTAGCAATAAACATTTTCAAGCACTACGTTAGGATAACAGTAGAATTCCACTGCAGTGATTAAACACATATTGTCTCTATTTTGTTAAAGAGAAGGAAAAAGATGGCAATACGGTCACTGCAGTAGTTTTGTACTGTATTTGCACGGTTATTAATGTAGTGTATAGTGAAAGACATTTAAGTAGAATCATACAGTTAAATCCCTTTTCCACAAAGCGATCAGTCGCACCACAATTCCGCCAGTGAAAATTTGACAAACTGCAATGGTTATAACAATGATGGGATCTGGATAAATCGATGTATAGTCGCGGAAATACACAGTGTTTCATTTGTCCTTTATTACAAAATAATTAGGATAATAATAATAAAACAATTAACCGTGTAACATGACCATATTTTCTTCGTACAGAAACATTTTAAAGTTGACTTTCTATTGGTTATTGTTTCGCGTTGTCTCAATGCGTACAAAACATTGGATACTTTTAAATCAGTACACCGCCAGATTTCCTAATTGTACTTACAGTTTTGACATACCGATTTTATTTGACATTTTCATGGCAAGGGACTCTTAATTCACGTTCTACTTAATGTCTTTTACTATTTTTGAATGTCATTAAAATAATTGTATATTTCATAATTAGAATAAGTAAAATGATTTAACGATATACAATTCACTGCCGTTATATTAGAAAATAACGTAATTATTGATGTTTTCAAATATCTTGTCGGAATATCGAATATAAAAACATCTAAAGTCCATAGATATGTAATCTATAGTTTAACATCAAATAGAGTTGATTTTTAAACATTATTGTCACTGTCCCACCACTGGCTGATAGAGGCTAAGATAGCTTATGACGTCACTGTCAGATAAGGTAACAAAATCCGATATTTCCATCGCTTATTTTACACGTTGGATTGTTATCTGACAGTTTACAATTTGATGGGACAGGCCCTAAGTATTGTTAATAAACTGAGGGAATTTATTCCAAGTAAAAGCCTCAGAAGGTCTTTTTATCGCCTTATTGTCCTGATTAGATTACTGGCGTTAAGGTAGGGCGTAAGCTTCCGCCCAGGGCGCCTGAGAAATTACGCCCAGGGCGTAAAACCAACCTTGATTATGTCTATAAATTATATATCTATGGTTTGAAGAAGCTTCGGGACTTAGAAGACTGTAACTCAAGGTTGAGTATAACATTGAAACATTCTTTCTATATTCTGTTGTCTTAATAAGTACTTTGAAATCAATTATTTTAAAAAAAATTAAATGCACTTGAATTAATAGTGTTCAAAGTTAATGACTTTCTACCACACTCAGGACGTTTAAGGATCATTTAAGCTGTCTTTAGTGTAAATTAATGGGAATAAAAATGGATATAATGTAGGGGAAAATTTTAATATAACATCTGGTACAAAATAGAAATAAAGTTAAGAACTGCTATAGCTTTTTGTAAAATGTGAGCCTTTATTGTGTCACTGATGTGTTGTGAACTTGGCCAGCTTATAATCTGACTAGACTTTTTCCATAAACAAAATGTTTTTTTTTCTATTCACAGAAGAGATAGGGTTCACACATACTGACAGAGAATAGATTGGTGCAAATAAAATTGAATTCTATTAGTTTGAAATTTATTTTCCTTTTCATATGCTCTTGATTATGATGTCCAAAGTAAAATGCAACCTTGCTGCAATCGAGTAATTTTCAATTTTATTTGCAGTAATATGCTTTGGTTTTTGAGCCGGTTTGTGAACGGTTTATTTCTTCTCGTGGATATTTAAATATGTTTTTTAAGTATGTATTTGAATTTGAATTTTGTTCCGTTTCTATTTCTAAGTCGAAACTTCCATAATATTTCTACTTCCATATTATTTTCTGAATGTCAGAGTTAAAAATGCTTTGGAAAAATTGTAAGAAAAAGGTAATATTTTTGTAAAATCAATCATTTGGTTTTAACCTATTTTAGTATAAAATGCGTAGAATTGCTTTGGATAAAAACAAAAGATAGTCTTATTGTAAAATGACGGAGTTCAAATTAAACTGTGACTTACTGTGTATTTGAAATGACGAGAATTGGAAAATTAGAAATTAAAAAAAAAGAATGCTTTTAATAATATTAGTGTAATTATTAAGATTTCCAATTATTTGGTATCGTGAATGTGATAAGATTAATCTTATTGCTTAAAATTTAAATAATTTTTTTAGTATACTTTTTTAATAATTGTTCCTTAACTGACAGTTCACGAGTACACTCAGCTGCATAAGTATACTTATAAAATTATATAAACTTGTATACGCTTTCAGTTTCAAAAATAAATATACGTGTATTCTTCAATAACATAAAGGAATATATGAAATTATTTTTAAAACTGAACTCATTTAAATTTTTTTTAAATTTCGTAACTGTATGCATATTTGCAGCTGACTGTACAAAAATATGCTCTGTAAGAAACAGATGAAATGTTTTTGCACAAATGTGTAGAGTGGTATCCCACGGTTATATTTAAAAATGATTAAAAAATGAATTTGTGCAAGATGTGTAGCAATATTTGAATTATTAATTATTAATAAGAAAGGCACTAAATTTAGGCTTTTGACGAAAAAATCGACATTTATAAATAAAAAAATGCTGCCTTAATTACTTCGAGTGTACAAGACATTGTTCTTTTTAAAATTTCATATAAAATGTGATCTCCCACTTCCCTTAGTGTAGAATCAATATCATAAATGTGCACTTTGGCGCTGTTTGTGACATGACTCTGAGTATGAGAGTTCATGATTTGTTTTGATTGTAATTTTTGTCATACGGGTTGTTCGTTTATGACATGATATTTTTTTAAAATTACTTCTTGACGTTCACTCGCCCTTGAGAACTTCTGCATTCTAAATCACATAGAAAACATAAAACAAGTGTATTTTTTACTACCAAATTCAAATTTTCATTATGTACATTTACTTTATTAATCAGAAAATACACGTGATTTTTTTCGATCTACTCTTTTTAAGCGTCACGTGATTAAGGAATGAACCAATATAATTGAAAAATTCGTGTTTTGTTTTCATTGTCTATTGTTTATCTTGTTCTTGGAACTTGACGCTGACGTCATTAGACTCGTCTCATGTTATTGTGCCTGAGTAGTAGCTATGTTTAATTTATTAACTAATGTTTGAGTTTGAACAAACTGTTAATTACCTCAATATACGGCTCAAGCAAGGAATGTCTGTGCGGTTTGATTTGATATGTTGATTTACATTTTGGTACGAAATAAAAAAACTTTATGACCATTTTATGGTTTTATTTAGAAACACAAGTTACTTAAAACTTTAACAGAGGTAGAATATAATCACATATTTAAAATTAAACTAGTATTTCATAATTGTTTTTAACAATTATTATTCACAAGTCATCTAAAAATAATCAAATCATCATTAAAAGCTTATATTAAACCCTTTTATGTAAATCTGTTAATATATCACTACATTTTGTTGATATTTTTATATCCACAATATTGTCAGCTCTGGTTGGTCCGATATTCAAAATGGCAACTTCCTTTTTCTCTTCCTTTGCTTGTAATATTATTCTATAGCTAGAATACACAGTTAGACTTGAACCTAACACAAACACCGCATCACTTTCACTTACCTCACTTCTGACCTTTTCTACTCTCTCTTTGGGAACATTGTCCCCAAAGAACACTATATCCGGCTTCAAAGGACCTTCACATTTTGGACACAATGGTACTCGAAACTTTTCAATTTGTTCCTGAAAGAATAAAATGTCTTGTCAAAATTAAACAAACATTTAAAAAAAAATTAATAACCTTCTTTTTGTAATTAGGTTGATTAAGAATGAAAATAATGTATTTTAGTTTTTTAGTATTAAAATTATGCTCTTAATTTAGGTATATACCTTTGTTCTTATCAAAGAGAATTACAAATGTCTATCTCAATATGTTTTCGTAGAGAAGGTAATTACAAAGAGTAATTAATTGCAGTAAAAGGTAATTATAAAAAGTGACATTAACATAACAAACAGATATAGAAGACAAAATCAAGCCTTTAATCTATACAAATATTATAAAGAGGAAAGATTTGTATTTTTGTAAGTATTGAAATAACTCAAAAATTAGTTATGAATAAATCATAAAAAATCATTGCTTTAACTCACTCTAGATAATTCAACATCTCCATCAGGTCTGATCATTGTAACACTACTTTCCATATCTGGATTCTGCTGCATTATTGTCTCTTGAAGCTCATATCTATCTACTTCAAAAGTACATTGTAAGCATTTCACTATATAACCAGTACCATGAAGTTCAATAATATTCTCCGAACCAGCCTTGTGATGCAGACGGTCAACATTTTGAGTCACTATTGCACTTACTTTGTTGATCTGAGAAAATAATTAGATAAATCGTCACTTTATCTTCTGTATAAAGTTACTTTATATTTAAATTTGCTTTTTTTAGTATACATTTTATTTTACTACAGCAATAATGATAGCAAGTAACTATTAATGTAGAATTTTGAAAAAGTAGCCCACATTTATCAGCTACATTCCCATTACAGAACTGTTAAAATCAGCATAGCCATTTAGAATGTGTTCAAGGAGTTTTTACATGTTTTTAGGTCTCAAGCCATTAGAAAAAAAGGAAGAATTTAAATCATTTGAAATTAGATCACATTGTCAATGTCATTGTATTATCTGTCTTTTTGTGTACATATTTTACCAATACACATGTATCTGTTAAAAATATTCTTATTTCTAAATATTTTATGATATACAGAATGTTTTTCCAGTAATACCGCCATTAAATTTTATTATATGTGTAAAAAGATGATTGATTCTATGCAAAATATTAATATGGGTTGCTAATTAAATTGCTTCCCTTACCCCTTAAGAAAATCATATCATTAAATGTCAAATATCGCTTATCTTTTGTTTTTCACACCACATAAGGTTAGGATTGAAAGTAGAAAATTTGTAATGTACTTTTATACCTTTTCTAATTCTCTAATAGCATGATGTGTTGCATTTGGCTGTACCACACTAAACCTTGGCCACCCTACAAAGTTCCTCGCCCAGTATCTCTGTCTCACTTTAGGATATTTCACAAATTCTTGATACTGCACTGGTTTATGATTACTTCTTGCATATAAACCTACTCCCTCAGATCTATAGTCAGGGATTCCTAGAAAAATATTTTAGAATACAAATAAAGTTAAGAAAAATGCTTTTTTCGTTCTGAGAGAGATGACTGAATGAGAGAACCTCAAAATGTTTTCAAATAAATTGCTAAGCATTTCCATTGAGATCTTTATTATTAAAATTTCATTGTACAAAATCTTATTACATGATTCATTTTCCACGTACGAACCCGATTCAGTCGATATTCCAGCACCAGTTAGTACTAGAATTTTTTTATTGCGTCTTACAAAGTATTTTATTGTTTCAAAATCCTTTTCTACAGGTGGTTTATAGGCAGGGACAAATGCTGCCTGCCTCACTAGCATTTTGAAAGGAATAATTCGCTTGAACATGACGAATTTTTTACTCTTAGCATACAATTTCTTCTACCACTAAATGAGCATTTAAACGCTTCCCTAACTATATTACAATATTTACATATAAAGTAATTTTAAAACTATTTCATATTCAATTTTGAATTTCACTTATTTAAAGCGCAGTTTTCTATATTTCAATACACTTTTATTGTCAATCAAATCATTGACATTGACATTTTATCACAATGACGACAAATCAACATATCTTTCATTTCACGCCAAAAACATTATAGATTTTTTGCATTGTATCTTAAACAAATATTGGTTTTACTACATATTTTTTATAAATAACAAAAATGGAAACAAATATATTATTACTCTTACATTTAAATAAAAATAGAGACTTAAGAAGAGTTCTGAAATTAATACGATTTATGAACGGGTTGACGTGTTCTCTTGACATATAACCTCAAAAACCGAAAATTTTTTTAATGTTGTTTTTGAGCTTCATAACATATTCTTGTAAGAGTTTATTCAATTCAATATGACTCTATTTAAATTACGATCAGCACCAATGGTCTTGGTAGAAGATGATTACAACATCAATATTTTGCCTCTTTTAAATAGCTTAGTCGGAGACCAACAAAAAATCAACCTATTTTGTTATGACCAACCTGTTAGACTATGGGAAAAAGTGTTTAAAAACCAAGATGTTCAATATCACACAGAATTTAATTCAGAGAATTTTATTGAATATACAAAACAACCCTGTCTTGTTTTCATTGATTCAGTAAATCAAATGGCCCTGAGAATGGGTTGGCATAAATGTTTAACATATATAAGGAAGCTTAAAAGTAACGAAAATGTTAAACTGATATTAGTATTGCATAAAGATTGTCTACAAATGCATTCTAAATTACAAAAGCATTTAATCCACTTGGCACATGCAACAATTACATACAGTGATAGTGACCCATTAAAAATAGCAGTACAGATAAAATTAGGCAATAAATTCGTAAAGACAGAAGAAATATTATCCTATGACGGTACAACATCTGTATTAAAATGTGAGAGGATAACAAAAGCGGTAGTAAAGGATGAAGAACCTGTTAAATTGAATCCCGGTGAACTCACTACATTCAAAATAGAGGTCGACCAAACACAGCAACTGGAGAAGCATAATCTAAAATTACCTTATATGAGTAAAATAAATGAAGGTCAAAGCAAAGTTTATTATGAACCAGATGCGGTTGATGACTGGGATGAGGAAGACCCTGATGAAGATCTTGATATTTGATGGAAACCATTATGCATTTTAAATAAATTATTACTAAAACATTTTATCTTTTCTTTCAATAGCTAGCATTGTTTAGCTTACATACTGAAACGAAACACTTCACTTTAGAAGCACTGCTTACAATCTGCCACATGTCAAATTAGATATATAAATGTTTGTTCATTTTGCTGTTAGATTATGAATATGCATACAATAATTTTGATTTACCTTTTACAGCCACAATATTTGGTCAGTTACTGTTTTGACCAGTCCAAAAATACTGATTTAGTGGTAGGAGTGAAGATTCTGTTAGTGGAAGATTTAATAATGCATTTCTTGTACTTTTAAATGTATTTCATCATTTGTATTCATCAGCATTTTCCTTTTTGAAGATAAATCGGTGTATAATCTGTTCTGGTGTGGATTAATGAGTGGTAAATAATAACACAGCCTCTCAGAGGCTCTGGAGTGAAGGGGTAGAAAATTTGAAATAAATGATTTCATTAGGATATGGTAGACAAATTCTCGGTTACAAAGAGTTCACTTTTTATTAATTTTTCTATTATCCATTACAATTTTGCGATTTTTTTTCCACCGCCACGTTACTTATACATTTTATTACAATTAAACAATATTTCATTATTAATAAAGTAGAAATACAAGTACGTGGAAGTTAAATTTATTAATGACACAATAATTACATCATCATATTCTCAACTCTTAAAAAGTATTTATAAATCACTTAATCAATGTTTAATTTTTCACGACCTAAGGAACAAAATAAAAAAAAACATTCCATTACAACAGAGAATCTATCAGAGAACTCTTCGATAGCCACGAAGGTGTAGATAAAAAAATAATTATGTATTCAACACATAGCATAAACGAAATGTAAATATGTATATTATATTTTGGAACGCAATAAAACCGAATCCGCTCAAAGCCGAACTGATAAAAGAACACTAGCATTTGACATCGAAAATTTCGACGATCACTTGAAAAGCACTCAAGGAGAATCAAAGACACAATAAAGCTAACAAAATACAAATATGATAATCATTTACAACCTAACAAAGAGCCTTCAGTACCGCCGCGTGCGCTGCGTACGTACACGATGATCAGCGGGCGTCGGAACGAATCATATACACGAGAGGGCGTGGCGCGAGGGCGGGGCGGAGGGCGGGGGCGGGGCCTGAGGGCGGTTACTCCCCGGCCAGCTCCTTGAGCCGCTCCTCCCGCGGCCGCGCGCCGCCGAATATCGAGGAAGCCTGGCTGGTGGAGGCCAGCGAGTTCACCGGCTCCTTCACCGTGCGCGGCTGCAGCTGCAGCTTCGGTCTGCCCGTCGTGTCTGCGCATACCAAACATACACTTTTACTGAGCAAAACATTATTATAAATAGAATACTTTAGATGGATGGATTGTTACAGTTTGTAACCTAAATGGGTGAACGGATCTCGATAAATTTGGCATATATGCATAGTCTGGAAGGATACATAGGCTATTTAGTTTTTTTTTAATTCCACGCAGATAGTTTCGGGTGAAAGTGGAAATTGAAAGACATTTTGTATAATCAGGTTTAGCGATACTAGCGCTCTAAGAAGGTTTAAATGATAAGCACCCTGGGCGAGATTTCTACAGCGGTTTTAGCAGGTCTTAGCTTAGGGTGGCTTAGGGTAGGTATTTTTCTGTGAGTTGAACAACAAACCTGGTCTCGCAGGCGGCATATCATCAAACTGTCGTCGCGGCTTAGCTGGCGCGGGCGCTACTGGCCCGCGGGCCCCCATGCGGCCCCAGTCTCCTCCGCGCGGCTCCTCCCCGCCGCGACCGCGCTCACCCCCACCCCCGCCCCCGCCGCCGCCCCATCGCTCACCACCACTGCCAGACGACCCGCCTCGTTCCCGCTCTGTAACATACAATAAACAAAGACATACACTTGTCAAGTGTTACAACCATAGACATCGAGCCATTGAATTCGGGGAATTCAATAATCAAAAGTAAGGGGGAAGTTATCTATAAATTTGAATCATTTTAATTCAATTAAATTGGTTAAAACAATAGACAATGTCCCACACTTGTAAGTGTAAGAACCATAGATATTACTAGTTGATCTCAGGGAGATAAACAAAAGTGGGGTGTCTAGAAACCTGAATTATTTCAATACAAATAATTTGAGTAAAAACAAGGGTGTTGTCAGAGAATGATCTAAGGTAGATCTTTGAAAGGAAAAGTTAGAAAAATGATTACCTTAACTAAAATTTGCTCCCTTTAGTTATGGAATTCATCAAAGGAATTAAAAAACCCTTACATTATTTCTTAAAACAATCAGATAGTTTGTAGTTTAGGGACTACTTTATCTGGTGATATAAAAGACAATAAAGACACTATTGCGTCACTTACCTATAATCTAAAGTGTAAAATGTTAATGTATGGAATACCAAGACTATTTGTATATTAAAGAAATTCAGGAAATAGTGTTATTAGAAGTACCCATTACTATTGAATATGAACAATGCCTTAAAATAGTGCATGAACCCGCACATTAGTGATTTCAAGCTGTTAAATCTTAAAATTTGTGTTATTTATATTGTTACTTGATGAGAATGAATTACTTTGCCTTCAGTCATACGAGCGATATTACAACGTTAAAAAAGCGTTAAATAGAACAAACATATTCCATATGCTAGGGGAATGAAACAAGAGTGATTTTAAAGTGTTCATATGAGAAAAAACGCCGGTACGAATGATTAGTTTATGTTTGGGATTAGTTATTATCTAATATAGTTTTAGTTTTAAAACAAGTATTAGTAAAATGATTGATGAAAATTATGTTTGTAGTATTAATTAATGAAAGCATAGAGAGAAGACTTGCTTTAAAATGTATATGGTTAAACCATAATAGACAACTTTTTTTCATGAAACATAATGAACCTTATGCAATCTGATACATGTATCCATAAAAATAAAACATTTTTGTTAATGTTTCGTCAGTGGGATCACGCTGGAAACACTGATATTTGGCATCAAGTCTTCGCTCTACTTGTAAATGAGTGGTTAGTGTTACCATGTGTGAACCCTCCACCCTGGCGCGGTCCTCTGCGGTCAGGCCCGTCGAAGTGGTCGTACGTACCGCGCCCCCCGCCGCCGCCCCCTGCACCACCCGCGCCATCCCGCCGGAACCCGCCGCGCCCGTCGCGCCCCCCGTCACGACCGTCACGACCATCGCGCCGACCGCGATCGAAACCCCCTCCTCTGGAAATTTCATCACACCCTGTATAGGTAGTCGGGGGAAATAAACTGCACTTTAAAAGCTACAGTCCCTTGAATATTGTTTTAACATTGACATGACAGAATAATATCCAGGCCGGAGTTCTCATAAGGAACAAGGCAGTACCATAAATGGATTCATATTTCTGTGGCTGTACAGACATGTAAAAGTCTTACAATATATAATATTAAGAATTACGATATTAAGCTGTGTTAACACAATTATGTAAAACTGTTTTCGTTGTAATAAATTAAAAAAGATTACGATCTTTGCAATTTAAATTTGCAAAGATCGTAATTAAATTGAAATTGATTATACATGTTTAAATTTAATAAACAAATATGACTGTTTCAATAAGCCTGTAATTACAGCCTTACAAAGGTAAAATTGTTATAATAAGTTTGATATAGTATTTCTATTTTTCTATTGAATTCTATTACAGAGAAAATTCTCTGTTAGTCTATGGCTAATACTTAATAATTGGATAGAAATAAATAACAAATCCACACTCAAACTAATCTATTACAATTTAAACAATTATTGCCAGCTCAAATAAAAAAGTTATTAAAAAACTCTTATGGAATTGTGATTTATATATCCACTAATACAAAAAACAGATTTAAGCTAAGATTGTTGTACATGACAAAAAAAAAATTGAATTTCTTATCAAAATTAAATTAAACTAAAACACCAAATAAACTGTTTTTTAACTGTTTTTCACCGACTTCCCAAAAGAAGGAGGTACTCAATTCATCTGCATGATTTTTTATGTTTTGTTATTGTGGGAATAAAACATATTTTGTACTAGTCTATGCAGTAAAAACTTATAGATAAGGCATAAAAATTAAACATTGTCCTTTTGAGACTTTTTCAATTAATTTTAACAAATGCTGCAGTTTTTAAATATAATGAGAACCCCTAGTTATAACTATTAACAGGCTTTATGTATCATTTTTAACATGGAACTAAATTTTTTGAAAATAACATATTTTTAACATTACGGGATGTCAAATGAACAAGCCCTCTGTTAGCAAACAGCTCATAGACATCTCCAAGTCATATGTAGGCCTTAACAGAGGAGACATAAAAAGAGAATTAAATTTCATTCCCACCTGTCGCTTCGTTTCTCTTCAGCTACATCAATTTTTACAACATTCCCATCTACAATTAGTACACCATTCATTTCAATTGCTTTGACCAAATCATCCAAGTCTTCAAATTCAACATAGCAAAATCCTTTGAATTTGTCTGTCTCTTTGTCCATAACAAGCCTAACATTTTTGATGGCCAGATCCTGAAACAAAATACAAACATTAATACATTCTTGAGTCAAATAATTTTTCATCATTTCTTTTAATTATTCCAACATAAAGCATAAAAGCTATAATCAGGATAATGTTTATATTATGGTTAAGTTAGGAATACTTGCTGTAGTGCTTAACTACTTTGTAAAATATTACTCTCTAAGTTACTAATGCCTTAAATATGAAAAAGTTTCATGAAATTTAGTACTTGGATATTAGTGGTGAATGTTGATGGAGGTGTTTAAAGAATGTGTGAATCCTTACATTCTTTTAATAACATCACATAGTAACTATCAAATGCAAGGTTAATAGTCAACTATGATGACATAATCAGCACTAAAAGTGGATAATAAACATAGGATGTAAGTTCAATGTCATTCAAACTTTCTGATATGAAAAACCAGAATTCAGACACAATAAAATCACTGATAACAATAGTTTACACACAGATTTACCTAATAGTAGTACACACACACGACATTAAATGTGTGTTAAATGAGAAAAAGTAGCAACAAACTAAAATTACTCACAGGAAAAATTCTGTTAATATCACCCTGGATGAGGCCAGAAGGTAGATTTCCAACGTACGCCTTGTAGGGAGGCTCGGTAGGTAGCGGACGCCCGCCAAGAGTCCTTCTACCGCCTCCAAAGTCCCTGTACGCATTATGAATTTATAACCTATAAATTTTGTTAAATGCAGCATTTTGATTGAATCTAATGATACAACAGTAGACAGGCTTGTAAAGTAGTGACGTAAATAATTAATATTCACACGATTCTCTAAAATATCACTTTTTTACAATGTGAATTTAACGGTGTGAATAAACACTGTTAAAGCACTGCGCGCGAAGAAAGTAATTGTTTTTTCAGAATATTTATGTTATTGCCGATTAATTACAGGTAAATTTGAGGAGAAGTTTTAAGTGTATTTTTAAAATTAAATACCTGGGATTACCATCGTCAAATCCACTACGTCCTGCCATGTTTAGAAACATGGAATAATAATTGCGCGCGCATCTCTTTCTGGATATGCCTAAAATGTAGATAATATAATAAGTTATTTCTGAAAAATCTCAACAAAATAACAAATTTTAGCAAATTTAATTTATTTAGAAGAGTCTTAGCCCTAATAACGTATTTATAACACTTTATCAAAAACTATAAAGAAACCAATAAGTACATAAAAATTCATTCATGACTAGTCAAGCTGAGCAAATCTCGTATTCATTTTGTTCAATATAAAATTAATTGAGACCCAGACTTCTAAATGTTATTTTACAGCAATCTAATGCTAAGTAGTTAGCTGAAATACTTTAATATTTTAACAGTGAATTCGCAATATTCATGATTATTACACGTTCAGTTAAAAAGCCAAAGTGATGGTAATAAATGTTGTGGCAATGGTAATATTTTTAATATTCGACTATGGCAAGATTTATAGAAATGTCAATGCCAAATGCCAATGCCATGCGGGTTTCCTTCAAGTGGTTTAGTGATTTTAAGTAGTATATTTAGCAATGTTACATTAATAAAATGAATGAAATAACAAATACTAAACCTTTAGAGGTGACATCTTCCTTATTAGATGCGTTTGAGTTATTAAAGGCAAACAAAGATGATGTGAAACTAAATGGCGGTGTTAGAATAATATCACGCCTTATGAACGATGAGGTTAGTTTTTTATTTATATTCGAAAAATGCATTTGAAATATTTAAATTTTACTGTATGTGAATACTCTAAACAAAAGTAGGAATAATTTGATGCGAATGAGCAATTTCTACCTTCAGTTTCATGCTGGTATGTCCTCAAATGAAGGGCATGTTTAATCCACCAGGCCTTTAGTGGAACTTAAATACATAGTTTTTTTAATGATTTATATATTTTACTTCAGGGTGATAAAGAAATACAGTATGTATTGCGGAGAGTGGTTAGAAGTCTTGGCGCCAATGTCCCTGACATGAGAACAGGACATTTTGCAATGCTTGTTGCATTATTAACAAACTTTGAACAGATTTCTGTTTCACAACTATTTGAACTGATTAAAAAAGAGTTACATGCCAATGGATCATCTAAAAGTGTAAGTATTTAGGGCGGCATACTAGATCTTGCGAGCGACTCCATCCACATGGAATTAAAAAAAATTAAGTAGCCTGTGTGTTCTTCCAGACTATCCTCTACATCTATGCCAAATTTCATCTATATCCATTCAGCTGTTTAGGCTACAAACTCTAACAAAATCCATTCATCAATCTTAACAATTGCATTTATAGTATTAGTAAGAAACAAAAAAGTAGCCAAATTAACTAAAACTACTACCAAAATTTGTTATAAATTTTTATAGCATGCACACTTTTTAACTCTATGTCTCAAAATATATTGAATTCATATTATTTAATAAATTGTAATTTTAATAATTTTCAGGAGGTTGGAGATGTAGCTCTCGGTCAGATATTAGTATGCAGTGCCATATTTCGATCTGGCCGTATGTTGAAATGTAATGAAGAAGAACAAAAACAAATATTGACAACATTAATGAAAGCCAGTAATAAAAAATCTTATTTGAACACAGCAGCATACATTTTATTATTAGATTTTATCTACAGTGTAAGTATTAAAGTTGTAAAACAAAGGCTCCTATGTAGCTGCTAGTGTGTCACCCAAAATAATAATAATAATAATAATGTAGACTATAGTAAGCAAAAATTTTTGCATTTACACCTTGCCCAGTATTATTCAATTCACTTCATAACTACAAAAAAGAAATGGATGGATTGCATAAAAGGTGACATGATCAAGGGAGTGAGGCTTGAGATGATGGATGATAGTGTTATGTAGACAACAAAAACCTCTTCCGCTGACCCTAAGAGATTAGAAAAAAGATGATGATGAACTATTAAGTTTTGAGTAAATGAAAGTAATTTTAGAATGATTAATTGTTGATTTCAACTAATTGTACTGAAGAATGTAATGAATCATTAAAGTTTAATGTTTTGTCTTGCAATTTACATAAGAGTCATTAAAAAAATGACTTAAATTATATTTATATGTATAGTAAAATACACAATTGAATCTAAATTTTCTTTTAAGCTTGATGAAGAACAATTCTCATCAGTAGTATGGTCAAACATCAAAGAGGATTTTAAAAAAGACTTAAAGGAATACAACTTGGATTCACTTTATTTTCTACTGGTTGCCAGTACTAAGTTTCCGAAAAAAGTTAAAGTAAAGAAATTACTATCAGTACCTGAAATACTGCATGAAGATAATTTACAGATAATATGTGAAAAACTTTTGGTAAGAATTTAATTTTTATAAATATAAAGCATACAATTTTAGAATTACATTAATACTAGATTATCCTGTGACACTGTCCATGTGGAATTAAAAAAAAAACAAAAGCAAGTAGCCTATGTGTGGTGTCAAACTTGTCAACATCTTTGCCAAATTTCAACAAGATCCATTCAGTAGTTCAGACTAAAAATCTAACATACATCCATCTATCTAAACTATCGCTTTTATAAAATTAGTAACATAATATTTGAATTTTGTTTTAGGCGGGAATTGACTTCAGTACAGTACATCATCCGATTTATAAAGAAATTGGACGACAAATAGCAAAAACATCACATTTAGTACAATTTTGGGTGACTGGCATTGACAGCCAACTTACAAAACATAACAGGAATAGAGAACTTGTTTGCATTTCCATGCTAACTACAATACTACAAAATCTAGATGAAAACGTTGAAGTAATTCCTGAACTATTAAGTGCGAACTTTTTTAAACTATTCATGGATTGGTTCAAAGGTTTACAAACGGCCAGTAAGATTAGAAATAAACGTGACAATGAAGATGACAATAAAATAATGATAAAAAAGCAAAAAGAACTACTCAATGCGTTAGCGAAATCATTAAAATCAGAGAAAGTGACAAGTAAAGTGAGAGTTGAGACTTTAAAGAAGGTCTTATTCAATCCAGGAGAGATTAATTTCTCTGAAGTGACAGGAACTTCTATAATTAAATCTATTGCCGCTGATTTAGATAGCGATGGTGTGAAAAAGATAGCTAAGCTGTTAAAAAATGTACTCATGAATACTTCGAAGAAATTAATTAAAGAGGATGTTGAAAGAAATTGGTATAATAATGAAAGAGTGAAAGCAGCGGAGCTTCTCTCGTTTCTGGTTAGTCATGATGCTGTGAAAGATGATACGGAATTTAAAATTACCAATATGAAATTATTGATGTGTTTTGGATTCTTTAAAATCGGAGGTGACGAAACTGTTGCAGTAAGCAGTGAGCTAGCAGGTAATGTTCTTTACTCTATTTCAAAGTTATTTTGAAAGTAATGTTTTTAAATGAGTTTTTATTTCAGGTTCCATCAAGTCTTGCTTTTACAGATGCTTCTCGTCTCGGTTTTCCAATGTTGACAACTTAGTAACAGTTTTATCATCGTTATGCAATTTCATATCAACAATATTGGAAAAGGAACAAGTCAGGGCAAAAATTGAAAAGCAATTTACAACCGAAAATATGGAATGTTGGCAAATGGTTGCAGATATATGTGAGAAAATAGAAGATGTTGATTCAAAATCGAAAGTAGATCATGTTTTTCTAATACTACTTTATCAGTTAGGACTGTTCTTGTTTTCGGAGCCAGCACATGTTAAAGTTGCTAGCAGTTCTATAAAGGAATTGAAAAGCTGCTATGAACATTATAGGAAAGTGAATTTAAAAGTAAGCAAAAAGAAGCAAGAAACTACAGATGATGAGCCTGAATGGATAGAAGTGTTGGTTGAAGTGTTACTTTCCATATTATCAGTTGAATCCAGTGTACTTCGCTCCGTAGTGCAATGTGCTTTTAGATTACTCTGGGAGTATTTAACACCATCATCTATTGGACAAATAGTGTCTGTTTTAGATCCAGAAAGTGAAGCAAATCCGTTAACTGTAGATAGTGAGTCTGAAGATGATAATAATGAATCTGATAATGACGATAATTCTGACAATGATGATGATAGTACGGCAAAAATGAATGGCGAATCTGAGGGCAGCGATGACAGTGGCAGTGATGGAGATGACAATGATGATGATGATGATGATGACGATGATGATGGAGACATGAAAGTACCAGATCAATTAAGAATGGCAATACAGAAAGCGTTGGGTGGCGCAGCGCCGGATACGGACACAGAAAGCATAGATGCAGATGCAATCAATGAAGAAGACGGCAAGAAACTAGATGATGCTCTCGCCGAAGCGTTTAAACAATTTCAGCAAGGCAAGAATAAGAAATCTAAAAAAGATCGCAAAGATAAAAAAGCTTTGTCCGATTTTAGAGTTAGAGTGTTAGATTTAATTGACATTTATTTGGAGAAGGATCCATCAATGGATATTTGTCTTGCAATGATAACGCCATTAACGAGGTGTTTAGAATTCTGTATGCAGGACAATCAGTTAATAGAATTGGAAAATCGAGTTAGAAAAACTATAAAGAATCTGTGTAAAATTAGAAAATTCTCATCCACACAGGATGTCAGTGTTGACATATTGAGTGATTACTTGAAATCAATTATTGACAAAGGTGGAAGGTCGCATTTTATGTTCCAAGCTTTAGGGGATATTGTCACTTTCTTTGCAACATTTATAATACATTGTTCACTTAAAGTGAAGGTCAATACACCTAAAAAGAAAAAGCTATCACCAATTCTTGACATATTTAAAGATGCTCTTCAGAATTATTTCCGAAATCGAAACTGTTTACTTCCAATAATATTCTTCCACAATGTTCTTCAAACTGAATGGGATGATACATACGATCTTGTACCTATAGTTTTGGAGAATATTTTTAACAAAGATGTTCGCCATTTCCGACGAAACGAGGGTATCGAACTTTTGTCTGGATTTTATAGAGCACTGAATAGAAATAAGCCTTGCTCAGAAACACTTTTGACGAAATTAAATAATATAGAAAGTGAATTTGAGAAACAGCTTTCAACTGTTATATCACTTGGCGAGGAATTCAAAGTGAAAACTAATTTCGTGACGTTATTAAAAAAATTGATTAATACAATGAAAGGATTCCACGAAAGCAGTCGTATTAAAACAAATTTGAATTTTCAAAATTTATTTAATTTGTTAAGTCAAATAAAGACCACTGGTAAATGTGAAAATGTTAATAATCAAGCAAATAAAAATCATCAAAACCCTCAAAAATCTGGTAAAAAAAAGAAAAATAAAAGAAAACAATCACAAAACCGGCTTTCCGAACCACCAGTGAAAAAAGTCAAAGCAGATGTTAACGCGACAGTTAAATAAATCTTGACAATGATTATGATTTTAATAAAAAAAAATAAATTTTTAAACAGTTGTTTTTATTAATCAGTTTGTTTTCAGATGAGATATACAAATTATGATTCATTTAAATAAGTTTTCAGTTAGACCTCTAAATTAAACACTAGATAGGTGTGACAAAATCACGCATTACCAGACAAGTTTGTAGCACAATTGTGGATTTTGCGATCAAACGATTAAATGTTCCGTCAACAAAAAATGATTATTAATATTATACCTAGTATACTAAAAATAATCCAAACCTTTAAGTTCACCGGGATAAGAGCAAAAAGTTGGGGACGAAGTTTTGTAGTTACAGAACTCCTCAAGTTGAGTTGACTCAAATGTAGTCAGAAGAGGTCCAATTTATCCCAAGATTTGCATTCTACCGTGGGTCCCGTTTCGAGTTAGTTTATACAAGCAGTAGACTTCGTTAAATAAATAAATAAAACATTTATAATTTGCGAAAAATTATCTGTGCAACTTTTTCCAAAATGGTAGTTTCTTATAATATTGTTAATGGCAACATTGTTTCGCCGGAAACAAGCAACAACTCATATGTTTCACAAACTGCACAAAACTCAGCCAGCCATCTTTTGTGGGAAAATCATTTATTTCGTGTCGTCAGGGTAAATTTCATAATTGTAATTAATGTCAGAGCCACAGTCTTCGCTTTTATTAAAAAAGCAGCTAGCAGGTAAATGTAGTATGTAGTCATAAATTATTTTTGTGAACCATCATTGTGAGCGTCAAGCGATCAAGTATCCATGCAATCATTGACCTTACTGTGCCGAAATTTAGAGACGATAATGGTTAATAGTAAAGATCATATAAAATTTACACTTATATTGCGTATCTCGAGAAATTAAAAAACTCCGCAGTATATCGCTAATCGCGTAAGTAAAATCAATATTCGCAATGACAGACATTCGTTGCCAAAGTCAAATAAAGAAATGACTAGGTGTTTCGAAATGTTTACGCTAACTTGGCAAAGAATCACGTTACATTTTTAATAGTAGAATATTTAAAAGTATGTATAGTTTCATAAATTACAAATGAAGATGTGGCTGAAATTTTACGTCTGATTTTTCAGAATTAAACAAAAATCCAGTGGAAGGTTTTTCTGCTGGATTAATAGACGACAATGACATTTACAGATGGGAAGTTCTCATTATCGGGCCTCCAGACACATTGTAGTAAGTAAAACATTCATCAGAATTTTCAAATTCAAATTCATCTGAAATTCAAATTCAAATTTCAAATTCATCTGAAATCAATAATTTTTATACATATATATTTTTTGTTGGATGTGAATGTCAAGATTTAAAATTGACAATATCAAGTTTAATTCTACCTATCTAGGAATTAAATTAAACTTATGTAATTTTGTCATACTCATAGTGGTTAAGTTGAAGAAATAGTCTGTAGATATGTCTACGAATTTTTTTTTCACATGCTAAGGTAATTTATTTAAGTATTAGCTTGAAAGAATTGGGTCTAGTATAAGGTTCTATATAGTATTTTATGAATATACAGTTATGTCTAAAGTCAATTGCATTCATATTTTTATGCAATTGAAACTCACTCTCATCATATCTCATATTTTTAGTTGAAATATGTTAGAATTATAGTTACATATTGTTTTAAATTATCATGTCTTATTTCATGTTCAGAAAGTATATCATTGTATTTTTTACTCAGAAAGTGTTTGATATTTTTACAGTGAGGGTGGATTCTTCAAAGCACACTTACATTTTCCAAAAGAGTATCCTTTGAGGCCACCACGGATGAAATTTGTTACTGAAATTTGGCATCCAAATAGTAAGTTATTATTTCCATTATACTTTACTTATCTATACTAGTATAATAAAGATTTGTATTTTTGTATCTAGGCAGATTTAAAAATTCTTTTAATGTAAGAAAGGTAATTTATCTCTGAGTAACATATTTGTAGCTATAATTTTTAATATCATGTGGATGAAGCTACGAGCACAGCTAGTAATCTTTATTGTACACTTACTTTTAAATTAAGAATTTTCAGTTAATCATTAATTAAAATCATGTACAAGTATTGTTACATTCAATTTCACAGCTTGCATATTTTTTTTGCTGTTGCAGTAGTTGCAGCAAATACCTAAATATCAATTTAAGTCTTATCTCTAAGTTTTTAAGTCTAACTTTTCATTCCAAAAAAATCCATTTTCACACCAAAAAAAGTGCATATTTTTGACAAATCATGGATATTGAAATATGCATCAGCTTATAAAATACAATCTTAACCAATAAATAATGTTGTACTTATGTTAATGAAGTGTGGTAACACATTTAAGGTGAAACATATATATGTTAATAATATTAGGAGTGGTCAGAGCTTTATATGTTTAGCCCTTAATGAAATAGTTTATTTTTTATTGGCAACTAATCAGTAGTGAAGGAATAAATACCTCTTCTTAATAAAATAAGTTTTTTTATCTACATAACACTGAAAAACCATAGTCAGTTTACAATTGTCTAAAAAAAAAACGATTGTTCAATTAAAGGGTGTATAACTTCATTTTTGGGGTGCTATGTTTTGAACATTTCTACATTTTTATTTTTAGTACAGGTAGATGGATTTCCAAGTCAGTCTTGACTTTCTATGTTCTAAATCATTACAAAGTGTAACAATATTTATAATAAATGTTCCAGTTGAAAAGAATGGTGATGTTTGTATATCAATATTGCATGAGCCGGGAGATGACAAATGGGGTTACGAGAAAGCATCAGAGAGATGGTTACCCGTACATACGGTAGAGACAATCCTTATAAGTGTCATTTCTATGCTGGCTGATCCCAACGACGAGAGTCCTGCTAATGTTGATGCTGCAGTAAGTTTTTTAATATTAAAATATTTTTTTTTTTATATAGTTGCAGATTTTTTATTTAATTAAGAGTTAATAGAATAATGGTGTAAGAAACACATCTTAAAACGTCTTTAGAATGTTTAATGAAGGTTTTTTACTATTGAATAGAATAAATTAGATAAGTATGTTTTTGTTACTATGAAAAATGTATGGATTTGTTTGTGTGGTTTTTGTCATAATTATTATTTGCGTTTCTGTTTACTGGAAATGGTGTTTTGGAGACAAAATGCACTTCTAATAAGTGCATGGTTGACTATTTAATACCAAACACTCGTAATAATATACATGTAATTGTTTGTCTTCACAGAAAGAATGGAGGGAGCGATATTCGGATTTCAAAAAGAAAGTTGCCAAATGTGTTAGGAAAAGTCAAGAAGATTGCTTTTAGGAGCGGAGGGATTATAAATATAACAGAATTTTGCAATTGGAAAAGGGCTATACAATACAAAACACATTGAGATAACATAACACATTAGGTTGCACACGACATTTGCCCATCCGACAGTTGTCCGCCAGTCGTAGCCGAGTCCTCATTCTGTTTCTTTTTGCAGAAAGAGTGGAGAGAATCATATTCGGAGTTTAAAAGAAAAGTAGCACAGTGTGTAAGAAAGAGTCAAGAGGATTGTTCCTAAATAATAGTGCCCTTTTTCATAGATTTATTTGGATAGTGAGTGTTTGTGATGCAACGGAGAGGTTGGCCGCAGTGACACAGTGCGAGCGCCCTCACACCCGGGCTAGAGACAATATTGAAATTGTTTTAAAATAAATACTTATTGTAATGAAATGGTATCGCTGCCGTATTTTATAAATAAATTAAAAGTAGTATCCGAGGTCTTTTTCATCTTTTTTAAGACATGTTAGCTAGCTATTGTTATGATATAAAAGTGTATGAGAATTTTTTTATAGAAAAAACGAATCTGCATTTGTTCCCTTCTCACATATTTACAAGTTTGATCTCTTTAAAATAGAAACCAAATCTGAAATAATTTAGTTGTATTTATTACTCGAAAATGTTTATATTATATTGCTTACGAGCACACATAATTGTATAAAAATGGTAAAATGCAATGCCTAATATTGTGCCTGTGAATAAATGTTTAGTTACCGCTATACTCTGATTGAACGTTCTTCCGTATCGCATGTCACTAGTGCTCATTTTAGTAGTGAAATTTTAATAATAATTTTGTCTGAATAAATGCATATTTTGTAAATTTATCTTTGTATATTGGTCCACCTTGCCCTTAGCACATGGTTATATGATTTGCACAACTATGGTGTTTCCTTTATTTTATAGAAATAAGAAATTGCTATTGAATTGTAAAATCAATTGAATAATAGTTTTAAGAAAACTTAAGAAGTGTACCTTAAATACATAGCTTTTGGAGACATTTTGTATAAAACAAGCGTATAAATTATTTTATGGTATAGCTTTCAAAATTATGTAATGTCGCAGTTTTTTTTAAATATACACATACTAAACTATTGAAAATTAATTTTGAAGGTATAAAATGCTTTCGAACAAAATTCTGTTATATTTTTTAAGCTATCCATGGCAAAAATTTTCACATTAGTGCATGTTCAAATTTAATAATAATTTGTCAATATAAAAAGCAATTAAAACAATCGATGCCTTTAAGTGTTTGTGACAAATGTTCAATTTTCTTTGTGTATGTATATTTTTACTATAAAATCATAATGCAGTGCTAATACTTTTTCATTTGCACCCAATTTGCTTCACATTTGATAATAATTTCTAGATATACAACAAAAAAAAAAATAACTGGAAATCAATTTTAAGGAGTACTTAGGACTAACACTTGTCAGACTTGGACCAGATGGAAATCTTTAATTTCTACCAAAATTTTCATTACAATATTTAAAATAAATATCAAAAAAATCTATACACATTAAAAGTGACCATAAAAAAAATTTAGTGAACACACATCCACAAAGTTGATTTTGTTCCAGGTAATTTCTGTAACAGCTGCGCCTATTTTAATAGGTAGCTGCATTGGGTATATCATAAGCTCTTGTCTTTTAAATAACTCGCTGACAAAGTCGCGGTCGCCCGCTAGTATAGAAAAAAACTATGTGTTTAGTGATCCTAATAGGTTTAAGTAAAAGGCATTGGTAAGTAAGGCAATCAGTTACACTGTTTTTGGCTACAAATTGCTAAATAAGCCACTATTTCATGTTTATAGGTAACTCAAAATTGATGACCTGCAGATCACTTCACACAGGTAAATCAGATCAGTCAACTGGCTCGCTGATGAGATCAATTTGTACAGAGGTATGATTCCAATGAGCTGTAAGTCACCAAACATTGGCTCATTGGCTCATAGTTACAATAGCACATTGTAAGCTGATAATTTAGTTGCAGAATTGCAGCTCAGTTCAAGACTGAACGCTGATTTTGTTGAACCACTTCAGAGCTGATTTACACATCTCTAATTTTTTGTTACATGACTATTAAGACATTGAAGTATTCAATATCCTTTTACTGGAAAGGTAGAAGAAAAATAAACATACAGATGAATTGAGTACAGGAGGTACTCGATTTGTCTTGGTAATTCTGTCAAAAAGTATGCAAATAAAAATAATTTCTCAGTAATCATTTTTAATTGCATTAAAAGTAAAAAAAGAAATAATTATGTAACAATTAACATTTAAATTATAGTTCTAAAACCTAACTATTAACAAATTAATGTTTAATCAAAATTTTATTCACCATCAGAGTTATCTGCTAAAACAACACTTTGTATGCTTCTTGGATCAAATGTGCTTTCAAAACATCGTTTAAACATTGATTTTATCACTGTCTTAGATGTTGGTGACGCCGGTATATCATCACAATCTTTAACATCCATTAAATTATTATTTTCAATAACACTATTATCACAGTTATTGCTTAAAACTTCATTAGGAATGTCTACAAAGTTAAAAAGATGTGAATCTTCATCGAGACATTTAGATATGTCATCTAAATGTGGTTTTTTACTTGCCGATTCTGATAAATGGCTTGTGTCTTTACGTTTATTTCTTTCTATTGATGTTTTCTGTGTTGATACTTGTGTGGATACATCTGGTTTAGTTGTTGCTAACACAAAATGTGCTTCTAATGTTGTACCATTGTGGACAATAAAGACAATTGGTTTCCCAGTTGTTTCAAATTGTATTTGAATAGGTAAACTGAGGGCTTCAGCGAATGTTAACAAAGCTTTGAATTCTTTCATAGTAAATGTTACTGCGGTTTCTTCTCCTACTGTATAACTGTCAAATTCCTCCGCTTTAATATTTATCTGTGTTCGTATAATTTTTGATAAATCAATATTATCATCAATGTAATTTCGTAAAAGTATTGACTGAGATAATGCTTCTAATGTGACCTGGTCATCGGAACTCTGGAAGTTACCGAGTGCTTCTGAAAGTATCCTTTGTGATGATGTTATTCTAAAAACAATAATTTAACATTTGAAAATCATTAATAAAATAGTAAATTAAGGGCCTGTCCCACCAAATTGTAAATTGATAATACAACGTGTAAATTATGTGATGAAAATATCTGACAGAGACATCATTTTTAAGCTGAGCCTCTATCAGCCAGTGGTGGGACAGGCCCTAAAAGTCCTATATACTTTAAATACTTACCGATTTGGAACTAAATCCTTTGTGTAAACTGCTTGTGTTACTTTACTGTCTAATATTGATACATAATGTGTTTTGATTATCCCATGTTTACATTTAAACTGGAAAATCAACTTACACTGGTCTATGTCTAGTTTAATTTCTAAATTCTCAACTTGTTTATCCATATGAGCTGGTGATTTAAAAGAATTTAAAGCAGACTTCATCGATATTTTACATCTCGGACCTTCAGTATCACTATTCGAGTTATAATTGTGGTTAAAATATGAAAAGAAATTTTTATTAAATTTAACCATAGCGTAAGCCGACTCTGCTGAGTTTAGTGTTCTTAATCGAATACAATCAACAAGGGATTCCAAATAAAGTTCATCTCCGAATCTTGCTAATGCATGTATAGTTCTTCCTAAAACTAAAAACGATTTGTTAAAGATTTCACGGGAGAATACTTAATCCAGATGACAGAACATAAATAACCTTTTACGTTGGGACCTGGTACATAACATTTCATTTCTCTTAAAATACGTTTTAAGTATATAATGTAATACTGTTACAGTTCTTATTTGAACAAAACAAAGTTAAATGTTTTTGAAGAAACAAACTTTTTCGAAGAATATTCATGTGACAGTGACAGATGGATTTGACAACAATGAACAACGGTTTTACTAACTTTCTGCCAAAATTTTACTTTGATGTATTTTGAATTAAAGTTAAAATTACATATTTATTATAATCTCCCTGTACTTTACTCAGGCTTAAATTATTAAATGTTGTGTAATTCAATAAATCTGATAAATCTTTTCAGTGGACAAATCCTACGCTGGTGTTTTCATTTAATCAATATCCATCGGTAATTTAGAAAATAATATTGAACGAAATCTTTCACAAAGAAACATATTATGTAAAGATCATTCACGACACGATTTGAGCGTCCATTGATTTAAAATTTAAATACTTATACACAATTTACTGTGCCGGAAAAATATTGCGCCTATTATTAATGTAACAACAATTGCCCCAATCTAATTTTGCATTATAATTAAAGGATTTGCAAGATATCGGATATCAAATAAAATAGTTTCATTAACTTTGGAAAAGAACTCTCTTGTGTCTCCAATACCAAATTACATTTCCGTTCATAAATCATATGTTGAAACCCAAAACATTTACAAGTTTCTGAAGATAAGTAAATTTATACATGCATATCTGTGCGCTGACTGTACAATTATTATTTTGGATACGGTGTCGGTCATATTGTTTAGCTTACGTCAGCTAAGAATGCAAAATCGTTTTGTTTATTACGCATTGTTGCACTTATCGGTTGCGCGCAGTTGCGCGTAGCTTTTAATCTTATGATAATATCATCCGAGTTGTTGGTCAGAATGAGATAGTGTTAAAAGCAATTATAATCTATGTTTAATTCACTAGCTTATAGTTTACAAACATAATTATTATGATAATGATTTGTACTGAAAACGAATGATGAAGTGCATATGTTCTTTAGAGACGTCTGTGTCGTGACGCATTAAAAAGATAATGAAAAAGCTGTTTTTTTTTTTAAATTAAAAAAGGTGACCTGTCTGTAAGGAACCAAGCCTTTTGAATTTTTTCTTTTGAATAAAAAAGATGGATAACAATAGAGGAAAGCAACACTGAATTTCCTCTTCGAAAACCGCGCGAACTAGGAAATCATTAATCAACAACATTGATTTATTTTCGCGGTACCGGAACCGATATATGTATAAATGTAATTCATACAATAATTTACCGCTTGTAGTCTTATCATTTGTGTAAAAGCGATTAGATGCTTGTATTGTTGACGTTTAAAATTAATCTATAATTACCTATTCATCCTTTGACTACCTGTAGTGTGTTTATCACATTTTTTAACCTGTACGCAGATACATAAAGGCTTTGAATTCGGCCACAAAACCAGTATCGCGCGAAAAGACTGCTAATATAGTAGCTTAAAAATCAACGGGCTGTAATAAGTGATTTTTTTTTAAATTTATCTCTGTGATTAAAATAAACTATCATCATGGATTTGACCGGTAAAAATAGTGTTAAGTTTTATGTATCTGTAATACTAGCTTTCGCCCATGACTCTGTCCGCGTGGAATGAAAAATTATAGCAAGTAACCTATGTGTTCTTCATGACTATGCTCTACATCTATGCCAAATTTCATCCAGATCGTTCGGCCGTTTAAGCTACAAACTCTAACATGCTACACTTTCGTATTTATGATATTAGTAAGATTTTGTGCATTTACTTGCAAATTTACATAATCTGTAAACTGAGTTCATTCTCTTTGAAAAAAAAACTGGGATATTTTCTAGTTTTTGTCCATTTGTTTTGGCGGTGGAAATTCATGGATCAATCGCTTTTATAATTGGAAAACTTATTTAAATTGATTTTGAGACGTGTATACAAAAAAAAAAAATGTTTAAAATTGAATGTAAGTACTGTTTATGGGCAGCGCTATTTTGGCAAATTCCGATGGCTGCTTGTTCATTGGCAGAATTATACTATTAACAAGTACAGTGTTATCTCGGTTATATTCAAGAATAATGAATGAAATCCAAGCCTTACTGAATACAATTGTTTTGATAGTGCAAACTCATCATTACAAACAAAAGTATCGTATGTTTCTTTTGTTTGCACAAAGAATGCAAATATAAAATACTAGCGGCCTGGCCTGACTTCGCACGGATCCAATATTGATAAGAAAATGTGTTTATTTATAGAAACCTCTAAATTATAGTATTTCTATACTTTATTACAATTATACATAGCTGTTGTACTCGGCTTCGCCCGTGTGATATTAAAAAGTAATAAAACACATAGCCCATGTTACCCAATAATAACGTAACTTTTTAATGGTTTTTTAATGGTTTAAAGATTCTTTAAAATCGGCCTAAGAAGTTCAGTTATTTCAATATATACAAAAATACGAATCTTTCCTCTTTATAATATTATAGGTATAGATATAAAGTCGGACAAACGTCTGCACGTCAACGAATGTTAAATAATTGGACAAATATATGATAGTGATTTTCCTCCGCAAAAACCTAAACAACAGTAAAATAAGTATAGCTAAGTATAGCTATCTCTGTTTTTTTAAAGAGTAAAAGGGAGACGGCAATTTGTTTCTGCTTCTGACGAATTCTGCTTGTCACCGTGATATTTAATCAAACATTGTTAGACGATTCAATATAAAAAATTCAATCTAAATATTATTACTAAACGAAGAAAAATATAGTGCGTGGTTAACTAAGGACTGCTTTACGCATACTCCGCGCCAGGGAGGATGCGAAGTTATGTGGGATTCTCTCCAAAATGTTGCATACCCACTAAACCACCTCTGGTTCCTTCCATGGTGGCGGGGCCATGGGTACGCTGTTAGCACTCAGGGGAGAGGACTAGCCTCCCCAGAACTCCCCTAGGATAGGCGCGCCGAAACTACAGCGCGCATTCCACCCGGCCCTTAGTAATGTGTGGCAACCCCACCTGCCGCCACAAGGCTATAGAAGCCAGGAAGGCGGAAGCAGGTATCCGGAAATACAATCCAAAACAATTTATCGTTTAACACACGGGCGCTAACAGGTGGTATAAGGGGGTGGGTAGCAACCACAAGGTCTTAGTAGAAAATGGATCCGTTAACCGAAACCTAGTCTAGAACTATCTATTGGTAAAGAACTACGGAATAAAAATTTAAACATTTTGCAAACATCTTTAATTTATTGTATTCTTATGTATTTTATAAAATTAGCATAACAATAAAGGTATTACGATGTTTTATTGTCAAATGGGAATGAACGAAGGTTATCTCTTTGTTAATTCTTAAAATGTACTAGATTCGAGTCTGGAATGAATTAATTTGTTTGCATACATATTTTATAATATTAATAGATTTTTTCTGTTGATGATGTCATTTTAATGAATCGCAATGTGCAAATGTTTGTAATTAGTATTTTTGTTGTGTTCTTGGATGTCAGTTATAATGCATTAGTTACTCGATGTAGTTTCAATAATATATCATCTTTGCTCTTAATATCTCAAAAAACCAGAGATATTTCTGGCCACATTTGCAACAATAACAGGCGAATTACATTCATCATTATTAACTTGCACTTATCCCTTATGAAAGGTCGGCACAGTATGTGCTGCTTCCATACATCTCTATCAGCCGTCATATCTGAATCCACTCCTTTCTTAAGCATATCCTCTTTCACACATTCCATCCATACTTTCTTCGGTCTTCCCCTTCCTTTGTAGCCATCCACATTCATTCGCAACACTTTCTGGTTTATATTCCCATCGTCTCGTCGCATAACATGTCCATACCACGCTAACCTTTTGCTTCTCAATTTCTCCACCACTGGCGCTACTTTCAAACTTTCCCTAATATACACATTCTTTACTTTATCCATTCTTGTCACACCACACATCCATCTTAACATACGCAACTCAGCATCATGCAATCTTCTTTCATCCGCAACTTTGAAACATGCGAATTACATTAAGTATATAGCTATAATTATTTACTTTAAAACCATAGATTAGTTTTTATTTAAAATAATAATAAACAATTAATCAATTCCAAAACATGGCAACATAATACAACATGAGAAAAAAGAAAACTAGCTATTAACAGTCAAAACTAATGACAAGAAAATTGAAGAGAAAAAAAAAACATCTAAACATATAGACATTTTAACAATGCGTTGCAATGCAGAACTGATAGGGCCTTTGCTCAGCTATGTTTTGTACCCTAGGGGTAAAAACCCTGATGTTCTGCAAAAGCCTTTACATCCTCCGTACGTCAGTTACAGTAGTTAAATTATTGAAAAGTAAGAAAAAAACAAAAAAATAATATTTTTAATCCCTCCCAAGTGGATTTGGTGAAAGGAAGTCGGCCGGTTAAACTTTAATCTTACTAATATTATAAATGTAAAAGTTTAGATGGATGGATGGTAGGATGTTTTTACTATCTCGAGAACGGTTAGACAGACATCGACGAAAGGCACATATGTAGAGCATGCATAGAGCATCACCCGCGGACAAACCAATTATATGGTTTTTGCGGGGCCATATTTGAGCGTATTTTTAATTTGTTTTCATGTAATATATATTCAATAATAATAATAATCTGGAAGAACATATAAACTACTCACTAAGTTTTTTTTTAATTACACCCAGACAAAGACGCAGGCAAATCCTAATAATTGAATATGACGTGAAATTCTCTAAGGCATGACAGGCAAACAATATTTACCTTCCATTTTTGATTTTTTTTTTCGTTAATGATTTCAGTGGACCAATACATGGAAGGTCTCCTAAGTAAGGAGGCCTACGACCATCCCTCGGATTCGGTGAAGCTGGAGAAACTGGAATTAACGCTACCTGATTGGTACGATGAAAAACTGTTTAAAAAGTAAGTAAATCATACTTCATACTTCATACTAATATTATAAATGCGAAAGTTTAGATGGATGGATGTTTGTTGCAGTTTTTAGCCTAAACGACTGAACGGATCCTAGAGGGATATAGGATTATTCTGGAAGAAATAGGATACTAATTAAGTTTTTTACTAATCTCCCATGGACGAAGTCGCGGGTTTAAACTAGTAATAGCTTATAAATTTTCTGGGTGCTCGCTTACATAGTTGCTGAAACCTTTATGCAAAAAAATCAAGTTTTCGATGCTTGTTAATAGTTGAATAGGTCAGTTTACTCTTTTTGCATAAATTATTATACTCATTATAACTATTATATTATAAAGATATAGTTTGTGGTAATTAAAGTTATAAAAACTAACTATTACAACAAACACGTGTTTAACAATGGATTTATTTCAACTCTAACACGTGTTTAATCTGAAACAATAAACAATTCATAATTTTTTTGTATAAATTACTTAATTATAAAATGAAAATTATAATGACTCAGCGTTCATCTTTTAAATATTATAAGAAATCTAGTCACAATATTACGGTGAAATCAAATACATAAAAACATGTAAAGATGACACCATGTACTTTTTCCGCTGGTTCTTTCTCAATACTGGTTCTATCTTAGCACTCAAGTCTGATACACCGTATTTATTTTGATGTAAATATGCCAAAATTGTAATAATTACGTTTGCTTCTGATAATTGACGTGCAAAGTAAAATTAAACTTTTGTTTCAGACAATTTATTTACGACTAGCTGTTGTTCGCGACTTTGCCCGCGTGAAATTAAAAAATATCCTATGTTACTCACTGATGACGTAGCTTTTAATGTAGAAAGATTTGAAATCGGCCCAGTAGTTATTTCAATACATACAAAAATGCAAATCTTTCCTCTTTATAATATTCTTATAGTATAGATAAAAAATCTGCTCTGCTTTACGTTTCGGTTTGTGTGAACGAATCCTTCGTTGTTAGATGCAAAGCCAACATACTATGTAATTTACTGGAGAAGGCGTATGTCCAGCAGGGGGCAAAGGCTCATGATGAAATGTTTTCAACATTAAACAATTATGACTACAGTTACTGTATTGCTTCGTTTTAGGGGTCAACGATTTTTCTGGAAGCATTGCTTCGGCTTATCCTTCGTGATGATGCCGGGGCTGGTGGCTGTTTTCGCGGTGCCCACGATATTAGAGGTGTTGGCCGATTCAGGAAAATCATCGTCTAAGTACACAGCCTTCAAACGATACGTAGCAACGTTCCTGCACTTCCAGTCGTGGTTGACTCATGATCTGAAGCCGGGTAGTGAGTAAGTATTACTTCGAAGTATTAAATATCATTATCTAAAAGGGAGTGATGACTGAGATGACGTATGATAGAGTTATGTGGAGGACAAAAACCTGTTGCGCCGACCCTACGAGAGTAAGGTTATTTAGCTAAAACATGTGATAATAATTGTGAAAATATGGATTAGATCATGGAGATCCCTTTACGCTGTTCGTTCACAACACTTGAGAAACGGTCGCGCTGCTCGCTTGAAGAAGAAGGGAACCATCTCTCAGCGGGACTTGGCTCTCACTCAGTTCGGCGTCATCGGCCTCGGCATCCTGAAGCCGGACCGCTTCGGAGTGCGTCAAGAGGACCCACAGGATTGGGAGGGATGGAACCATTTTTGGGGAGTGGTTGGCTATATGATCGGCTTGGAAGATAAGTAAGTGCTAATTTCATTTTGAGCGCACGCACATCTTTGGCACACAACTGTTTAGTCTCGCTTTGATTTCTATGAGCTTATATGGAGGTACACTACACGATTTTTAGTTGTGCAACTAAACAGTCTGATTGGCTACCAAACAATCGCACATTTGTGCAATAGTTTAGTCAAAGGTGTGCACACCGTTTACCAATTCAGTAGAATATAATTTGACTTGGTAGAGTTATATTTAATTTAATATTGCATTCCGTATTCTCCGGTCTTCAGTTTAGATCCAGTTTTTTTTCCGAAGGGGATTGCTTTCTGCATACTCCATGCCTCGGGGCAGACCCGTGAGTTAGGTGGGACTCTCCCCCCCTAGTGGGCATACCTCACTAAACCCCTTCGTTCCCTCCTGGCCAATGTGTGGGGCGCCACGGGATACCTTTCGCTTGCCACCGCGACGCCCCACTGACCGCCCCGGGAAGGGGCCCTCGGTGCGTCCCAACGAGTTGGGACGCTGCACCCTAAGGCGCTCCTCGAGTCAGTTAAGATCCATAAGCCAAGGTATCCTAAGGTTGTTTTCTCATTGCAGATATAACATGTGTCGAAGAACAATGGATGAGACCCGTCAGGTTTGCCGGATGATACTTGACCAAGTGTATACACCGTGCCTGGAGAACGTACCGGAGTACTTCGAGCATATGTCACGTGTTATGTTGGACGGCATGTGGGCGGTGAACGGCGCTACGGAGGCCGGCAGCCTCATGTACGTCACTAAGAACCTCGCCGACGTACCCGGGTACATCCTTACCGAGTCCGAGAGGATCGCGCTGCAAACAAAGCTGAGGAAGTTGGCTGGAACACATGAGGATAGAGGTATGTATTCTTTACGAGATTTTTTTTTAGGTAAGCTACCTACTTATCTCTGGTATATATAAAAATATATGAAGACAGAAATTGTAAGGTTTCTTTCCTTTTTTTGTACAAAACTGATCAAGTTTTAGTCTGACGGGAAGAGAAAGGGATTGATACATTAAGAGCCAACTTACCTTAGTATTAAGAAGAAAATTAGTACTGCGCTGTAGGATCGGCGCAACACTAGATTATCGGCATAGACGTCCCGTCCCTGACAGCTGTCAAAGGTCATTAGACGTATTGAAATATTACGCGATCCTGGCGAGATTAGTAACTCTGAGTGTGCTAGTTAATTATGCTAGTAACAATTAACTTAATTGTTTAAAACTAGAGTTGTAACGGAACTCCGCCTCTGCATCGGCAAGTGCGGAACTTCCGCAAGAAATGAAACTCCGCATCTGCTTCTGTTATTTCTTATGCGAAGTTATAACGGAGGTTAATTTATTATTAGTGACCTCCTCTTCTGCTTCCGTTAAACTCCGCTTCTGCATAGGTGAAGCCCTTTGCCTCCGCACCCGCTTCCGCTTCCGTTAACATGGCCTCCGTTACAGCCCTATTTAAAACTAGATACGGAATGCTTCAAGTTTTACTAATTGTATAAAATGATGTTTACTTTTATTGTTTGTGTCACTTTTTGTTAAGGAGTGATCTTGTAATGCATTATGACATGCTAGAATTACCTTTTTTTTACAGGTGTAGATGTATCAACATTGGTACAGAAATGCAGAGTTGATGGTCTACCAGACTTGCCGCCACGTTTTCTCTACCTCAAAGACTTCGACAGCCTGGAATCTGTTCCCGAATACAAGAAACTTTCGTACGCATCTAAATACAAATTAGCTGTTTTATCTTTACTTATGGCTTTCTACTCCACGAACTTCGGTCGATTTGTTCTTAACTTGTATTATAAAATCAATATGTATATGGCGGAACATTTCCCATACGTAGCTTTCTTTTTGTACGGTATTAAGAAATCTTATGTAGATATATTTAAAGACCCTGAACACGACAATACAAGGAATATACCTAACTCGGAATACAAAAATCAATCACCAGAGCCCTGGTACAAAGTGATAGTGTCATTCTGGTAATCGACGATTGTTAACAAGATATTAAAGTTATAAATACAATAATGTGAAGTTAAAGGATCGAAATTATTTTCATCGCTTGTGCAGAAAGTTAGTGCTTTCTCATTATCTTCGGAAAGAGTGATATAGTAATATTTTTCGGGTGTTTTAGAAATTAAAAATCATAGTTTTAAAATAAAATGTTGACTACATCTTGATTAGGAAAGGAAATTGTGTGTGATTTAAAAGATAACTTTTTAAATTTTATCTTTTGTATTCAAATGGAAAAGACGTATGAAAATAGTAGTTAACATCTGTATTTTATATTTTATATGAAAATAAAACGTTCTTAAATATTTTGTGCATATTTATTAATCGTACGAATCAACTCGACTCACCCTTTCGACCTTTGCCTCTTTAACATGTTATTTTTCACATTATATTGTTTTTTTTCTTCCTCTGGCGTTTGCAGTGATAGATAAAAAATTACAAATGATTTTCACAGTAAAATTTTTAAAATTGAAATATAGTTTTATACCTACAAAATAAGATTTCTTTGCCATTTACCACTTCCATACTAATTCCTATATCCACTTATTTGTAATATCCTCGCGTTTGTTCAATAAATTTGAGTCAAGTAAGCAAATATTAGATACGAAATTTGCATAATATATTGCACGTAATGTTGCCATGTTTGAATGTAAATGAGGTTAAGTATTTAAGGGTGCGTCTACAGCTCAAGAAACGCGCACGCGTTGCATATCACTGCAATGGTTTGGTAGCCAAGCAAACTCATGCGAGGCTTGCAGAGTAAGTGGTAGAGCGCGCTCGGTGTAATACCACGACCACACCACGAAGATATTTCCCCTTCCTATGCAGCTCCTCCACCGTCAAATCCCTTTTCTCTTCCCATCCTCTCCTTATAAGAAAAGGGTGGTAAAGAAAAAGGGACTAAAATTAGGCCTCGGGCACCACACTCAGCAGACGAAACACGGACTTGCTTCCATTTTACGCCTGTCTTCTCTGTGGTCGTGGTATTACACCGGGCGTGCCGTCTATTCGAGCTAAGATGTTAAAGCGGGCACTACCACTGTTACACGGATGAACGGAACTGGATGAAATTTGGCATAGACGTAAAGGATAGTCTGAAAGAGCATATAGGCTACTTGCTTGATTTTTAAATTCCGCGCTGACGGAGTCGCAGGCGAAAGCTTGTATGAAATACATAAGTGCAACACACGGGTAGCTAGCGATTGGCTCGTGAGCTGAACATTTGCTTGGTGTACGCACCCTAGGAACACACTAATACTGTAAACAGATTTTGACGTGACTGTAACAACACTATGTGTTATTTTTTATATGGATTTATTTAAATTGTTTTGTATATTTGTGTCACATTTAAGGTAAATTAATACTGGTAGTAATTGATAGTTCCGGATTTGACAATTTTAATGACTTATCTGATAATTTTGTTGATGAGATTAACACTGCTAGAGTTATCTTTAGTTTCGTATTAAAAATAGAATTAATGGTGTTTCTTCGTAGTGATTATTTATTGATGTTACTACAATACGGTGATGACGCTTACTATTTTTTTTACGTTTTTCGTTAAGAGATCGTAGTAGGTTTATAATGTAAACAGGATTTTCGAAATAACAAACATTAAATTTCTTTAGTCTAATTTTCTAGTTCTTGATTGAATCACGAACAACTCACTAGCTTTCGCCCGCGACTCCGTCCGCGTGGAATTAAAAAAAAGACAAAACTAAGTAACCTATATGTTCTTCCAGACTATCCTCTACATGCTTATTAAATTTCATCAAAATCGGTTCAGCCGTTTAAGCTACAAACTCTATCAAACATCCATCCATCCATCTAAACTTTTGCATTTATAATATTAGTATGAAGTATGATTATCTTAAACGTATCACTTTTGTGAAAATTGTTGAATAACTTGAGTACAAAAATTGAGTAAAAAAAACAATTTTATATGTAAAGGACCGACGTTGGAAACATACTGATTCTTTAGAACGTCCTCATTATTACGTATTTTATTATATTTATCTGTATGCATCTGCAGTAGTGATAAATATTCTACACAGTGTCCAATACGAGTAGTGGTCTTTAAAACGCCTATTCGTAATGTTGTATCAAAAAATATATTAAGCAGTTTTTTTAAATAGTTACATTCAAATAGTGATTTTTTTGTAATATGGATTTAACAGGTAGGAATTTTACTAATATCTTATACGTTTGGATGGATGTTTGTTGAGTAGCTCCAGAAAACAAATACTGATTTGGATGTTTGAAAGTAACAAAATAAACTTTTTAATAAAAAAACAAAACCGACTTCCGAACAAAATACACTAAAAACAAAATGTTCTCAAAAAAAAACAGTACACTAAAAAGTAACGAAATAATTCCTTGAAAATAGTAAACCTCCCTTATTGTAGCTGTTATGTCTATATTGTACAGTTATTTTTACTTTGATGTCGGTGTCAGCCGAGGTATGCAGTGATATTTATACGCAAGGGTTTCCACATTTTTACTATAACAATTAACAATTGTACCAGACCAGATAAAATATCTTTTGCAATTCAGACTATTTACATTAACGTAAGCGACGACAATAAACAAAAACCTCGCTTGATATTACTCCTATAAAAATATGGGCAAAAAACGAATCAAGTGATCACATTTTAAAATTAAATAGGCTATTTAGGATGGACGCAGTCATGAACGGGAATTCAAAAAGTCGCGAAAATCCTCAGCGTTTCACTTACAGTATAATCTTACTAATCTTACTAATATTATAAATGAGAAAGTTTAGAAGGATGGATGGATGGATAGATGGATAGATGGATGGATGGATGTTTGTTAGCGTTTGTAGCCTAAACGGCTGAACGGATCTCCATGAAATTTGACACAGGTTTAGAACATAGTCTGGAAGAACACATACGCTACTTTTTATCCCGGGAATAAGTACGGTTCCCGTGGGATTCGTTAATTTAGTTTTTTAATGTTTACTCGATATTCTGCAACGGTTCAACGTACCTTATTGAAATTTGGCACAGATATAAAACAAAGTCTGGAGTACACATGGGATAAGCTTCATCCCCGAGAAATGACCAGTTCCCGAGGGATACGTAGCTTTTTGTAATTTATATAGTTCGTATGTTTTCTAATACCTCGCGGACGAAGTCGCGGGCAACAGCTCGTATTCAATAAGCAGTGAGTTGTGAGTTGTGAGTAAAACAAAAAAAAGTTACAATCCCTCACACAAATATAATATGTGGGTACAATATGAGTACATAGTTACAAATTTAAGAATGTAAAATTTACTTATTGTAAAAATAATACTATATTTCTTACTGACAATAACGACTACGGAAATATTTTTAACAACTTTTTTGGGTTACGAACTTAGCATAATGTCAATATGTTAATATTCTTTTTTATTACGAGTACATATACAAAATCCTTTGTCTTTCATTAACCACTAGCTGTTTCCGTGCGACTTCATTCGCATGAAATTATAAAAAGTTTATTTTATTTACCTTTGTCAAATTCTTAATTGCAAATGTCAAAATAACAAAGCATGGCAACCTTGCTTCCTTAATGTTGGCAGCAACTTATGGTCTCTCTCCCACATTAGGGTTTTTATCTAAAATATTTACCCCCTAAATTTAATGGCGTGAAATATATAGCCTAAAGCGTGGCGTAAGTATAGGGCTTTTTATTTATATAAGAATTATTAAAAAATATGCTGTAATTGCTGACATCTTAGGCAACAAAGAAGTGTGTAAGAAGAACGATTTATTATAATAGTACCTATAGTTAGATAAATAGTTATAAACTGTATTTGTATATGTATTATATTTATTTGTGACAACTATGCACCAAGGAAACAATATTAGGTTATTTTTTTTTTAATTGTAAATAAACCAGCCCTTGTTCACGATCCCACTTAGACTAAATTTAGTGAATAATGCCACACTTCGTTCATGCCACAAATCATTTATTGAATTCCTAACGGCTGAATACGGAAACGATATTTAAATATATATTCAAATCTGAATAAAATTATCGGAACGATCGGATCGGATCGGATTGTTAGAACCTTAACATTGTCGCAAATAAATTTACACTAATACTCCGAATTTGAAACAATTTTGACGTTTGTCAGATTGTAAGCAAAACTTACTAAGCGAGGTTTTCAACACTCGTTTCAGTATTCCCTTTGTGAAAACCACTATAAATTACTCGCACAGTTACTACACTATGCAGTGTCTTAAGTAGTCAAACTAGCTTTTATCAGACAAATAATAATACATTTGAATCCTAATGTACGTGACCTTAACAAAGATGTAAGCGGCTAAAAATAAATAAACTTGTCTTAAGTTTTGGAATATACGACACTAGTTGATGCGCGCGACTACGTTCGCGTGAAATAATAAAATAATAATAAACACAGTCTATGTCACTCGTTGATAACGTAGCTATTTAATTGTGAAAGAATTCTGTAGTTTTGAGTTATTTACATACATACAAAAATACAAATCTTTCTTTTTTATATTATCTTTCTTTTTAATATTATAATATTAGTATAGATAAGGCCAGGAATACACATGCAACATACCAATTAAAGGCATGCGTTAACGCTATTAGCTGCCATGCAAATAATTTATTTTGTGACATCTAAGTACTTGCAGCAAATTAAGGGTGGGTCGAAAATTGGCACTGATATATGTCGTCTCAAACGATCTCGTTGACATTTTACTAGCATGAACGCATCCGGACATTGTCATGTCAGCTGCAAACCCGTTTTACTGTCATGAACGCCATTATACTTGACAAGGTCATCTGCTAAAGATTTGGGAAAGAAAATCTCTAAACAATTATTTAACTTCCAATTATTAGAAAAAAAACTTACTTAAAATATAATAAGATTCTTTTTTAAACTGATTGCTTACTCTATTTTCTTTCTTCGTAATTCATGTTTTGAAATCACTACAAACACACTACATTATTGAAGTATGTAAAAATCAACATCATGCAATATAAATGGTTGCTCAACTTCACACAAAACAAACAAAAACAAGTATACAAAGAAATGGACAGATTTTGTCGTAATACACCACTATACATTTTCAGCGGAGCAATATTTGGAAGGTCTCATGAAGGATGAAGCATACGACTGTCCATCTGATTCAGTCAACCCTGAGGACCTGGAGATGAAGCTGCCACCATGGTTCGATGAGACGCTGTATAACAAGTAAAAAATGGTCCTTATTCTAATAAAAAAAACGTATGGTACAAAATTATTCAATTACCATTTTTATAGTGTAAAAAGTATATAAAAAAACTGCTACTTTTCTGACTTCAATAAGGAGGTTCTAACATCAAAAGGTCAAAATTCTCTTGCACGTGTATGCCTCTATTATTTTTATATACATTATATTCAGATTGACGATTATATTTTTAGAGGTCGACGTTTCTTCTGGCGGTTTTGCTTTGGGTTCGGGTCTGTGATGATGCCGGGTCTAGTGGCGATATTCGCCGTGCCCACCATCCTGCAGGTGCTGGTCGGCTCAAGACGATCCTCATCAAAATACACCGCGTTCAAGCGATATATTGCTACCTTTTTACATGTCAAAGCTTGGTTGAGTCATGATTTGAAGCCTGGCAGCCTGTAAGTATCAGAGAATATCAAAATAACTAGTAACTAATTCTAGACACTTCAACGATAATTAAAAATTTAAATGCAGCTAACATATGTTACGAAGTTGAATAATTTCATACGATTGGAGACGTAATTACTAAATAACTATGCGAAGACCAGTATTGTTTAACCTTGTAATGTACCTGTATACGTCGTATTATACAGATCATGGCGATCATTATATGCCGTGCGATCTCGACATTTGAAAAATGGCCGCGCGGCTCGATTGAAGAACAAAGGAACAGTCTCTCAACGTGATTTGGCTCTGACTATGTTCGGAACCATAGGTCTTGGTATCCTTAAGCCAGATCGCTTCAGCATAAAACAAGAAGAGCCCGAAGATTGGGAGGCATTTAATCACTTCTGGAAAGTTATTGGCTGTATGTTAGGAATGGAAGATAGGTCAGTATTAACATGTCACTACCGTCTTTGTGACTTTTTGATGCAAATACCAGTTCTAAGAAGTGATTGTTGAAATGAATTACAGATACAACATGTGTCGGAGGACAATGGAAGAAACCCGTCAGGTGTGTCAGCTTATACTGGACCGCGTGTATACGCCGTGTTTGGAGAACGTGCCGGAGTACTTTGAGCATATGGCGCGTGTCATGATGGACGGCATGTGGGCTGTGAACGGCGCTACGGAGGCCGGTAGCCTTATGTACGTTACTAAGAACCTTGCAAATGTGCCTGGGTACATTCTCAGCGAGTCCGAGAGGATCACGCTGCAGGCAGCGATTAAAGAAAAGTTGGCTGGAAAGCACGAGGATATTGGTAATTATAGAATTTTTGTTTAAATGGTTTCATTTCAAGTTATAAGTAAATGAGCGCGGTTCCCCTTAAGGAGGTCACAACTGTTTTGAATTTTCACTACAGCGGTTGAGGGGTTGGAAGAAAACAATTGTTTTTTTCTTCCAAGAAACGGGTTTCAACGGTAGTAGAGGTAATTGAAGTAAGTCAAGTCCTGTATCGATTGCTAACAACATGAATAAGTACATCTGATATGTTAGATATCCGCATGCCACGTTCGGTCCACCGATCATATATGATCATGATGTGTGGGAAATTCACTATAGTGCTCGAGAAAACAAATAAAACAACAAAAATCGAATGTAATAACTAAAGAGAAGAGAAGAGAAATAATGTCCTATTATCTATATTATTAGATTTAAAAAATCCATAAGACTAACTGTGATTTACGCTCCAAGAATATGAAACGAATGATCATGCGTCGAAGAGTTAGTTTATTCATTGAGCTATGGCGTCGGAACGACACATATACTGTTTAAAAGATTTATCGCCCGTTCGTTGCACTTCAGCGGATATATATCTGTATAATTCTCTCGAGTTAATGCAAAACACAGCTCACAACATGCATGTGAAATCTGCCGGTTGCTCGCCACTTGTTCAATCAATTGATGCTAATAATAAAGTTTATTGCACACGCTCTCTTTGTTATAAGATAGGTGCCACATGGCCATTGCACACATTATAAACCGTCATGCAGTTGACTGAGTTCAGTCATAGTCCTCAAGTAACAATAGAGTTAAAGTTTGATGCTGTAAAAATGTATCAATATGCATTAAGCTTATCATATCCGTGTGCGGATCTGTCAGAAATTATGCAATACCTATATAGGCGTATACAAGGACATGAAAAAACCATTTGACAAAACAGCTAACTATAATAAAGCAAGGATTTTGTAACACTCTTGACTTAGCTAGTCACCTATATAGTTTAGTTTGATCTATGTCTACGGGGTAGTTCCTTGTTGATTTCAAAACAGGCCGGCAGTTCGAAGGATATTTTTATAAATGTCTGATGACCCCGATGCGACGCCACAACGCTCATGTGGGATCTACATAAGAGAAGGGTCAATAAAGTTTCATTGCATTCGTCGCAACGCCGCCGGCCATTGTACGACTACTATACGAGTATACTTATTACTATGCGGGCTTTATATATATAAACGTTATATAAACAAGACAAAAGTGACATTTCCATGTTCACAGTATTCTTAAAATGGTGAATGGTACCCGCCCTAGCACAAAAACTTGACTGGTTACGAATGTGATAAAAAATATTCCTCTGTACTATTACTAGTTATCAATCAGCGAATAAAATTTCTTTTTACCTAACTGTTTAGGAAAAAGGAAAAACCACACAAAGTAACTATACAAGATGCTTAATTCTAACTTTGTATTGTACGTTAAGTTAATTGTGGACGAAACATGAAAACCGTTTCATCGGATTTTCTAATTTGTTGATAAGGTTTGAACTCGTTATAATGATTATAGGAGTGGACGCATCAACACTAATCGCAAAATCCAGTCTACAGTGTGTTACAAAACGTGAACAACGTCTGCTCTACCTTAGAGATTACGACTGTTTGGACACAGCACCTGAGTATAAGAAGCTTTCTTACGCATCCAAATATAAAATCACACTTTCGTCTATGATGACGGCTTTCTACAAGACGTACTTAGGCAGAGTTCTTCTTAACTGGTATTATGTAGTAGCCCTATACATGTCTGAATATTTTCCGTACGTCGCATTCTTTCTCTACGGAATCAAGAATTCTTATGTGGACATATTCAAAGACAGCCCACTAGGAGACAGTCCACCTAAAACTAACGCGGAGTACTACAAGCCGCAACCACCAGAACCTTGGTACAGAGCTATTTTAGCTTTCTGGTAAGAAAAAATAACAATCACTGATAAAATACTCTATTTTTGTTTAATAATCTTATGCAATTGATGTTAAGTTACGTATGATTTTAAAATGTATAAGTAATCTGTTTATTTTCTAATGTTAAATTGATTAAGCAATAAAATTAAAAAATGTTAAAAAAATGTTTTTTTTTTCCTCCTGAAATATGCCAAAAATAATGGAACGTGCACTTACTTTGACGAAATTTATAGTATTTTGATGTCAAATCGATTTCCTGTTTGTTCTTAAACTCACTTCATCATCATCACCAGCTCACTATACGTCCCCACCGAGAGGCTCGGAGCCTACCCGATAGTAAGGGGTGACTAGGCCATAATCACCCCTTGCAGTCTTAAACTCACTATTAAATGCGTATTTTATTGCATCACAAAAAAATCGTCGTTTTTTCTATTTTTTCCAATAATATTTATGATAAAAATCTTTACCTGAGTTACGAATTTTTGGTAATAGATGGCACTTTTATATATTCAACTAGTCCCAATGGCGGACTTTTCCGCACAACTTTTGCACTTAACAAAACTAAATATTAACTTATTACCGTATAAACAGTGACGGTGCTGAAATTATAATATTAATAATATAATAGTGTTTTAAATGAAGGAAGGAGAATCCAGATACATAGGTATTTAGTGTTAGCTACCAGACGATGAACTAGACTTCATATCATGTCTGTTTTTATCTGCGTCAAATAGCTTTATAAACTGAATTATTTGCCGACCTTGATCACTGTGAGTGGTGTTGTCGAAAGGTAGACTCCATTCGCGGACTGCGCGAATAAAAATATTTACATTTTTTGTGTCAACTGTTTGTTACCATGGATTTAACGGGTAAGGAAGAAAAATTGTGTTTTTATTTTTTTTCGTAAATTAACGAACTGGCCACCGAAGTAGCTGTGATTTTAAAAGAGCGATTCGAAATTTAAAAATATTTTAAAGCTCGATTGTTTTGGTTTTAAAATTGTTGTTTATGTGTTATTAAAACTTTTTTAATAAATCACTTGAAAAGTATACACTAAAAAAAAAATGTTATAATTACGAATGTTCAGATGGATGGCTGTTTGTTAGAGTATACAGCCTAAACGGCTGAGCGGATCTCGATGGAATTTGACTTAGATGTACAACATAACGAAGTGTATGGTTTAGGCTACTCATTAAGTTTTTTTTTATTCCGCGCGAATTCCATACCTGGCCTAACCCGCGACGTCGTGCGCTATAATTTAGTGATGATTGTATTTTGCAAAATCTGGAAAAGATAAAAGATTGTAATTTAAAATACCCAAGATGGCTTTATTATATTTTTGCATATAACATGTATTTTCGTCGTTTACTGATTATTTATTGTATATATCTTTTTATTATATCAATAATCTGTTTGATATGAAGACAAAATTGAAGACACAAATCTACTAGCTTTTGCCGCGACTCCTTCCGCGTGTAATTAATAATATTAAAAATAATAATAAAGAAATGAAAAAATATAACCTATGTTACTCACAGATAACTTAACTTTCTAACGGTGAAAGAATTTTCAATCGGGAATTTTAATCGGCCCAATAGTTTTTGCGCCTATTCATTACAATCGAATAAAGTTTTCCTCTTTATAATATTAGTATAGATACTAACAATTTTCAATGTCTGCTTAAAACATGATTATACTGTTGGTCAGTGAATAAATCTAAAAGCATTCTATACATTAGGTACTTTTCTAAAAGTTTCATCAAAAACGACAAGACACGAAGTAACAATGACATTGATAATTAATATAGACAGGCCAAAAAAAATTACAAATAAAAAACAAAAATTAAATTAACGATTAAAATAAAAAAAAAACTGGTGCATGCGAGAGGTGAACTTTCATTTATAAAAATTGAAAACCGCATTATGACTCAGAAAAGTCTGTATAAACGTGAGTGCGTGAGATTTTGATATCCTACGTTTTTTTTATATAATATAAGGTGACAAACGAGCAAGCGGCCACCTGAATCCACCGAAGTGGAAAGCGACCGCTGCCCATAGAAATCCGCAAGTGCAGATGCGCTGCCTACACTTGATTGACGGAGGAGACGCACATAAAGAGTTTTTCTCCTTCCTGTGCGTCTCCTCCACCGTCAAATCCCCTTTTCCTTACCATCCTTTCCTCTTATAGAAAGGGTGGATAGGGAAATTAGGTCTCCGGCACCACACTCATCAGACGAAACGCGGAATTGCTTCCACTTCACGCCTGTTTTCTGTGTGGTCGTGGTATTACACCGGGGGAGTCGGCCCATTCGTGCGAAGATGTTAAAGCGGGCTCTACCACTGTTATGGTAAGAGCGCGCGCAGACCTCTGATTAAATTATCGCACAACTAAGTCGCGCTTTGACTCATATGGGCTGATATAGAGATGCGCACACTACTCGATTTTTAGTTGTGCAACTAAACAGTTGAATTGACAGCGAAACAATCGACGATCGACAGTGCGATGGTTTAGTCAAACGTGCACCAGCTCTAAGTCAATATTCCGTCAATTGAATTAGTTTTACTATCTATATAAATCACTTTGCTTTTTAAATTACCGTCATAGATTATCTAAATTTATTACTTTTAATTTTTTGGCTGCACCACAGATATTATATCTATACTGCATACAGACGATATGACATTGCAGGAACGATCTTTTTTTGAATTAAACTATTGACATTTGAATGCAGACATCCCAATAGAAAAATAAGCAAAATACACATTGTTTAATTTCCAGTCTAAGGTGCATTTTCGAGAATTCACACTAAGCGTGACTTTCATAAGTTTATCTATCTAGAAACGTTTTACATGACAATTTATTTTAAATTGTTAGTAATTTATATCTTTATCAACACCTATGTATGTACATATAATATAAAAAGGAAAGATTTTTGTGTGTACTGAAATCAAAAAATATACTGGGCCAATTCCAAACTTTCTTCCACCAATAAAAAGCTACTTTATAACGAAGTAACATGAGCTATATTTTATTATAATTTTAATTCCATGCGGATGAAGTCGCATGCAACAGCTAGTCGACCTATAGACATATACGTCCATTTCCAGAAAGACATTTAAGTATCCATTTCGGAAAATAGTATGTAGTATTGTAAAAAATAACATTAATATGAGATTAACAACGGTATATGGTAAATAGTTATGTTTTCGTATTTTTATATAATTTACAAACTAAAGAAACAATGTAGTTAATTATTATTTTCATGTGCTCTGTCGTTTTAATCAATATAAAGCGTTATTTAATAACGTAGATGATTTCATGAAGTAATTCTTAAAGTTTAGATCGTCTTTTATGAATTCGAAGTTCTCGACGCTCGAATTTGACAGATGCCAGGCCACGATAAGATTGCACGAGCCGAGGGTACCTTCGCAGTACTCCAGCGGTAGGTACGAGGACACCTCTCTGTTAGGATAATATGTGTAATCTGACAACACACGAACACCACATTCCAGTACATTATCCGCCATACTTCTTATTACACCTGAAAAGACAAAAAATATATAAGAATACCACATGAGAAACAATTGCTTTCAAATAAAAAAATTGGTTCTCTAGATTACGAGTTCAGAAACAAAAAAATAATAAACGTGCAGATGAATTAAGGACGTTCTTTTTTGAAGTCGGTTAATTTTTTTTTAGTTGTGAAACTAAGCATACAATTCTGATACATGATGCATAGGTACAAAACATTTAAATCGTTTTAGTTTTAATCTATAATATAATAAAGCGTAAACACACACTTCTTTGTAGCCTAAGATGTCAGCAATTATATATATTTTTGAATAGCTTTTTATTAATAGAAAGCCCTACACTTACGTCACGCTTTAGGCTATATATTTTCATGCCATTAAACTTAGGGGGTAAATATAAGTTGCTGCCAACATCCAGAAAGCAAGCTTGCCATGCTTTCTCAACATGACATGTCATTTTGACATTTGCAATTAATAATTTGACACATGTAAACAATAAAATTAAATTTTCATAATTTCACGCGGGTGAAGTCGCACGGGAACAGCTAGTTTTTTATAAAGTAGCTTTCTCCACGACTCCGTCGATTTATAATAAAAAAAAAGAAAAGTAAATGGCCTGTGTTTTACCAGACTATCCACTACATCTATGTCATCGAGATCCGAGAGCAGTTTAGGCTACAAACTCTAACAAACATCCATCTAAACTTTCGCATTTATAATATTAGTAGGATTAGTAAGAGAGATGACAATTAGTATAAATAATGCAATTACTATTTAATTTATTCTTATAACTGTATACTTTATCACATTGTATCATAAAAAAATATCTTATCCTTTTAATACAATAGGGAATACACTTTTAAAATCAAATTAAATTTTTAAATTGGACAGATATCAACTATACTACATTGTTGTTGAAATAATAAATCTAACTTTAAGTAATTTGTTTTACTAATTAGAACGAATCTCTATGGAATTAGGCATAGATGTAGAGGAAAGTCTGTAAGAAGCCTAGTTAATCATTGAAATTCCGCGCGGACAGACGCGGGCAGCTAGTTCCTCTATAAAATTATACAATGCATCGGTTGTTTTTTTCCATACCTTTTTGTACAGTCATGAATGGAGTGTAGATATTCTAGTAAAAAAATTCCACTACCGTGACGATAAAAACCTATCGTCGTCCCTCTCATTTCCTTTGATTAAACAGAGATAACATTATTGTACATTTTAGTCTGTAAGAAGACTAAAAATGAATAGTGGTTTTCCTAGTTCTTAATATAACTTGTATCATAACAATAAAACCATGTTGAGTTAAAATTTATTTCCACGAGTAAGATAATGAGTTGATTTACTAAAACAAATTTAAAAACGGTTGCCTTGTCTCGGTTTTTTTAAAGAGAATGAGCAGGACGTCAATATAATATACAACAAAGAGATTCAAATACACAGAGGAGACATAGTTGACACTTCGCTTAGAAACATACACATAACCATCACTAAAGTTATCTATTAATGTATTGACTGGGATCTCAAAACCACATATTAATATAATTTGTTGTAACTAAATTAATTGCCAATAAATGTTTACATTTTATTATATACATTGTTTTGTTTAATTTGTAACAAATTAGCTGTTACTCGCAACTTCGTCCGCGAGAAATGAAAAGATAATAGAAGTTGTAATCCCTGGTAACGTACCTTTTTAAACGTGAAAGAATTTTTAAAACTGGCCCCGTAGTTTTTGAGTTATTTCAATACATATTAAAATGCAAAAATACAATACGGTGTTACCTTTCAGAGAAAGCACCGGTGTAAAAAATCACTACGCCTCGTCTATATGTTTAAATCTCTAACAATGAAAACCCTATGCTTACCGTTTTTACACGTTTGATTGACAACTCGTTTGGTGACACTGAAGTACTGCTCTAGAGTTGAATTGAAGGTCGGCTTGAGGCAAAGATACTCGTCTTCTGAATACTCCGATCTCTTTTGAGTTGGTATCGTATCGTATTTGATGACGGAGTTGAATACGCAAGGATCTGGCTTTGATGTTATCTGAAATTAAACGATATGTCTTACTAATTATATCTAGTTCATTCATCCAGATTGGATTAAGCATTTTTATTGCGGTCTTTAGTAGTTTTTTGATGGTTTTTTCGAGACGCCTTCTTAAGATAACAATGGTCTTTTGCCTACGACTCCGGCAGCGCAGACTATACTAACATTATATTGTATGTATTTGATTCACGTATAAACGAGTCGACTTTAAAAATTCTTTCATTAAAAAGGTAATATTTCTGTGAGTAACATAGGCTTACTTTTTTATTACTTTTATATCCAGAGTGTAGTATAGGTAATACAATACTATACTATAAGACTGTGTATATTAGAGGAAGTTTGAAAGTAGCGCCAGTGGTGGAGAAATTAAGAAGCAAAAGGTTAGCTTGTTATGCGACGAGACGATGAGGACATAAACCAGAAAGTGTTAAGAATGAATGTGCTACAAAGGAAGAGGAAGACCGAAGAAAGTATGGATGGATTGTGTGAAAAAGGATATGTTAAAGAAATGAGTGGATTCAGATATGACGGCTGATAGAGATGTATGAAAGAGCAGCACATACTGTGCCGACCCTCCGTAAGGGATAAGGGCAAGTTGATGATGATGATGACTAGTAATGTCAAGTATTATTTAATCTGTTATTTTTTTAAGTCTGAAATATCCATCGAGATCCGTCGTGCCGTTTCGGAGATACTTTCTAACAAAAATCTATTTATCCATACTTTCTCGTTTATAAAATGAGTATTTAAGATTAATACTTGTGTCAGACAAATGCATATTTGTAACCTTCGATAAAACGTTATTATCGAAGCTTGTAACTTTGCTTATTAACTAATCTAATATTATCAGAGTTAGCAAAATAAAATGCAACCTTTGGACCTAGTTTAATAACACGCGCTTAATTTTTTGTTTTTATGTCATGATTAGTATTTTGAGATGGTTTTAGTCGCATTCATTCGCACATTTTTATTTCTTTATAGCGTCAACACTTACAATCATTTTATTATACAAAAAATATGCACACGAATTGAGTCTCTTGGGAAGTCGGTAAAAAAAAATAAGTGTACTGTTAAGAACAAAATTAGTACCGTGCTGTAGAATTGGCGCAACTCTAGATTATCGGCATAAAAGTCACGTCCGTAGCTGACAGCTGTCAATGTCACTAGAAGTATGGATAGATTTGGCGCGCATCCTAAGTCCTGACGAGAAGTGTTGCTCTGAGTTTAAAGCGACAGTATCAATTAAATAAGTTGTCTAAAAGTACATACATCCACGGTTTTTTTTTTGTTTAATATAGTCTAGACATGCACTAAACAGAACTGATACTATGGAATAAAATGATTTAGGGGTTCTTTTGAAAGTGGTAAATGTGAATAATTAGCAACCTTGAGCCATCCCCCTACTCCCTCTTCGTTACGCTTTAGTACATACCTCTTGTCCTATACATCTGGGAACAGCATAAAGCTCGCTAAAGGCGGCTGCGGTCACCTGTGCTGTGGGGTGCTGCAAAATGCCACTACAGAGGGTCCAATAACCGTTGCGAATTATGTAGTTCCTTGGTAACTTTCTTAGTGTTGATACTGTCAGTGTTGTTATTCCAAACCTGTTAATATAACAGTGAATCAGTATTTTTTATTTGGTTTTTCAAAGACAAGAAATTCACAGTTATTTTTCTATTCTTATTTTAATGGGTCGAGAAATCGCAGTCCGTTGAAAGTACTCTAGCAGTTGTCTATGGTCCGTGGTCAGCACATCTTCTTATATTTGAATAGACAATCTAGAAGTTTCTTACCTCCCATTGACGATAGTGTCCTTTAGTCTCTCCTCTCTTTCTTGCACTATCAATATTTGCGTCTTCAAACTGTCTGCCAATTTCTTCGCATTACTCAAAACGGTTTCCAAGGTCACCCTGAGGTTTCGTGTCTGCATTACGTTAACTGGGGTCATATTGGACGTTTGGAGTAATAGGTTATTTTTCGGTAACTCTAAAACTTCTGGACTCCCCTGGAATAGTTTTAGTTTATCCCCGTCTAACACTTTTATGTCTATTTTGTTCATTCTTCTAGCTGATTCTTTACTGTTAAAAATTAAGTTAATACTTGTTTAAAACTATTAAATTGGTTTTTACATTATTTATATTCGAATAAACTAACATAAAGTATTTTCTGCGTTGTCATTTTTCAATTTAGTGAATTTTGCAATTCTCATGGTCAACGTATGTAGTGTGATTGTGTTGACGTTTTTGTTAAAATTATTATTTTATTTTTCTGGTTTTAATCGTGATTTATAAGAAACTTTTTATTTAACACGTTTACTGCGGCAGGTAAAATCAAAATTCTTCAACTGGTGCGTCGGCGGGCCTAAATACGCCCACAATGATTGTCCGCCAGTGCGTTGCAGGTCTTTTTAGACCCACCAACACTAGGATAGATTAAATTGCAATAATTTTGTGGAAACGCAATGGAAACAAAAACGTAACGCACTAGCGAGAGGGACATAGTTTTCTTCGTCCGCACCAGCTTAATACCGCATCGGGCCGATATCGACCTGTTACGCAGTGAATGTGTTAATTTGTTAATCCCAGGGTCCTGAATAGATGGTAAAAAATGAGCAATATTACCTTATCTATTTATTAAAATTACTGGTGTTTTTTATTATTTTACTTCAACAATCACATTTGAGAAACCGTGAGCATTACAGCATATTTGCTTAGCATAATAGCAAATGACCGGCGTATCATTACAATGGTGATGCAATATGTAAATAATCATATGATCATCGCGAAGTCGCGGGCGAAAACTGGTGGTACAATAAATAAAACAATAGAAAAACATAATAATGTAATAAAAAAGAACTAGGATAACAATTAGATTGTATAACCATTGTAAAAACTTCATAACTAGTGTTATATTTGAATCTTAGTACTTACTATTGATCCCGAATTGGCGTCAACCATTCTGATACCTGGGAACCGAAATTTTTAATTTTAATCTTCATTTATACACATCTGTACTATTATAATAAAGCGTAAACACACACATTTTGATACAAACCCTAATGTGGGAAAGAGACCATAAGTTGCTGCCAACATCAAGGAAGTATGTCTTCATGTCATGTCATTTTGACATTTGTAATTAATAATTTGACAAATGTAAACAATAAAATAAAATTTTCATAATTTCATGCGGATGAAGTCGCATGGGAACAGCCAGTAATTCATATTTCGTTAAATAAGTAACTATCTTTTATAGAATACCGACATGTATTTATAAATAAAAATCAATTACTGTTACAATAAATTTAGACCAGAATAATACCCTTATTTGTTTTGTTTTCTTCCCTAGTGTCATCTGTACTAATATTATAAAGAGAAATTTGCATTTTTGTATGCATTGGAATACCACAAAAACAGCTGGGCCCATTTTAAAAAAATATTTAACATTAGAAAGGTAATTTATCGAGTAACATAGGCTATATCTTGTATTATTTTTTTTAATTCCACAGGGACGAAGTCGCGAGCAACAGCTAGTATTCTATAATATTTATAATATTCTATAAAATTAATGAAATAATCGTGTTCAAAGCTCTTTCGCTATAACATTTTTTGCCAAATATATTTGCGATATTTTCGAGTATTATATTGTAAAATGAGAAAGTGTGAAAAATAAATTTTTGCTTTAAAATGCATATAATAGATGTCGCTATTTCATCTTTTACTTAAGGTCAGGTTAGTTTCTCTCTGATGACTGTTATTTATTTTAATTTTTGATATTTTTAACAAAACATTTTTATTCTTGTATATCCTAACCGAAATAACAGAAACATCTGCTCGCAGTTTGACTTTTTGACCCAAACAGTATATAAAAATATATTAATTCATTTTTTTAACAACAAATTAATAAAAATGATTGAAATTAAAAAGAAAATTCTCACCCAGTCACAATAACACGATTGAAATAACAAACAAAATAAGAAAATGTTAATTTTTTTCAACATTTTGCAGCCGCGTTCGTGAAACTTCTTTCTCATACTGCGCTCGTTCGTTTACCAAAATGTTTTTTCATTTTCACAACAACTATAAACTAATCGCAATTGTTCTATGCCATTGTTTCGACTTTCATAGATTCAAGGCAATAAGTACATAAAGTATAGCAATTTTTTCTTTTTTTTTTCCAGTGAATCAATTTGTTGACGGTCTACTAAGTAAGGAGGCTTATGAAACTCCTTCAGATTCCGTCAAAGAAGAAGATTTGGAAATGAATTTGCCAGAATGGTTTGATGAAAATCTATATGATAGGTAAGAAAAAAACCGATAAACAGAAAAGAAAATCCATTAACGGCTGCTTTTAATTGTTACTAATGTTATAAAGAGGAAAGCATAACATAAACTACGTTCAAAAAGTAAATTTCAAACCAATAAAATCCAAAACACAATGACATGTTTTTTAACCATAATAAATATATAGTTAACAAGTTTGCGTCTACACATTTTATTGATTGATGTAAAGTTTTCTTAAGTATGTATTAACTAATTTAAATGGTCCAATGATATTCAAAAATAATCTTTGGTTGTTTGGATTCTAGAGAGTTCAGCATTTCCTTTTCTTTCTCGAAATATCTTTGTACATTCAGCCAGTTTTATTTTATTATTACAGTTTAAATAGCATTTATTTTTAAAGGGGTCGAAGTTTCTTCTGGAGGTTTAGCTTCGGGCTAGCAGGTGCGATGACATCAGGTCTAATCTCTGTATTCTCTGTGCCAACGATACTGGAAGTGTTAGTGGGCTCACGACGATCCTCATCAAAGTACACGGCATTCAAACGCTATTTATCAACATTTCTGCACGTTATGTCATGGTTCCGATATGATTTGAAGCCTGATAGTGTGTAAGTATTTTTTATTACATACTAGCTTTCGTCCGCGACGCCGTCCGCGTGGAAGTAAAAAAAAAGTGAGTAGCCTATGTGTTCTTCCAGACTACCCTCTACATCTATGCCAAATTTAATCGAAATCCGTACAGTCGATTATGCTACAAACTCTAACAAACATCCATCCATCCATCTGGATGGATTAGAGTTTAGATAAACTTACACATTTTTGATATTAGTCTGAAGTATGAATATGATTTAAGTCTACATGGGAAAGAAAAGGCTGTGGGTATGTCATTAGAATATGAAGTGGCAGGATATTCTACTCCTACTACTCCCACTACGCCAACTACTACTACTACTACTCCTAAGAAGAGACACTCGTTAAAGAAGTCTATGAAAGGACTTATTACTAAAACATTCACTGAGGTCACTGCGGTGTGTAATTCGTGTTCCTTCCGTTCATTTCAAAGTTTCAAAATTATCTCATATGCTTTACCTAATCGCTGACAAATTTCTATGTTACCTCTATATCCTAAACTTGAAGGATCTTGACTTAGCGCTTATTAAACTTGTAATAATAATAATTTCAGTTCCTGGAAATCAATATACGCAGTTCGGTCTCGTCATTTGAGGAGCGGACGTGCGGCACGTTTGAAGAACAAGGGTACTGTTTCCCAACGTGATTTGGCTCTCACACAATTCGGGTTCATCGGATACGCGGTGCTTAAGCCTGATCGTATCGGCGTCACCCAGCAGGAAGCGGATGATTGGGAAGCATACAACCATTTATGGAGAGTCATTGGTCACTTGTTGGGAATAGAAGACAGGTTAGCTGCATTTTTTAAGAATAACAAATGAGCATCGAATCGCCTGACGTTAATTGATCAGCAAAAGTCGCATTATGTCAGAATTAATGCAGTTTCTGGCATTTATAAATAATAACCATCCATGCATTCATCTACAAATTTTCATTTACATTATTAGTAAGAAGGTACAACAGATTTGGGACATGACTCTGCTAAAAATAGCACCTATTTGCAAATTTAATTATCATCAATTTGCATTTTTGATACCACAGTCTAAATAATAAAGAGACGCATTTGTAAAATAACAATTTTTTTTAATCAAATGTTATTTATTGCTCATAACATTTGGCATTCGAGGAACAGATGGTATTAGGATAAGAAATCTCGCTGCTATATTGTTATTTTTTTATAATATAAGGTGACAAACGAGCAAGTGGCCACCTGAATCCACTAAAAGCGACCGCTGCCCATATACATTCGCAATTGCAGATGCGCTGCCTATCCTTAAATCTGATCTGATTTATTTTTCTATTCAGGTACAACATATGCCGTAAAAATATAGATGAAACCCGTCAGGTTTGCCAATTGATACTGGACCGCGTGTATACCCCGTGCCTGGAGAACGTACCGGAGTACTTCGAGCATATGGCGCGTGTTATGATGGACGGCATGTGGGCGGTGAACGGCACCATGGAATCAGGGAGTCAGATGTACTTGACGAAGAACTTGGCGAATGTCCCCGGGTACATTTTGACTGAAGCTGAGAGAATTGATTTACAAAGACGCATTAGGGAGCAACTAAATGGAAGACACCCTGATATTGGTGAATAATTTTTACTTTTTAATTTTCTTGCAACTTCCGTTCTGTAGCTTCATACGTGATGATGCTATAGTTATCTGTTCTGTTACTTGTTCTTGTTGTTGAGAAAACACGTTTTAAATACTCGTAGAATAGTACTTTTAACAAAAACTTTAAAGTAATTTTCCTCAACACATGAATGTTTATTTTAACTCGTATATTGAGAGCCTGTCGCACTGGCTGATAGAGGCTCAGATAGCTTAAAAATGACGTCACTGTCAGATAAGGGAACAAAATCTGACATCCCGATCACATATTTTACTCGTTCGATTGTTATCAGACAATTTACAATTTACAATAATTAAAGCTTATTTTTAAATGATTTTTTTTTGTACATTTCAGGCGTGGATTCATCATTATTAGTAGAAAAAGCAAGAGTCGAGGGTCTACCGGAGAGGTCACCTCGGTTACTTTATCTCAAAGACTACGATACCTTGGACAATGCGCCAGAATATAAGAAACTATCGCTAGCCGCTAAATACAAATTAGCCCTTTTGTCCATATTCATGGCATTTTACAATACAAATATTGGTCGAGTGTTAATTAACGGATATTTTCTTTTTTCAATTCACTTGACAGAATATTTTCCATACGTAGCTTTTTTTATATACGGAATTAAGAATTCTTATGTCAATATATTTGTGGAATCCCCCTTGGATGATACACCCGCTAAACCTAATTCTGAATACAATAAGCCACAGACTACACCCTGGTATAATTCCCTACTGGCATTTTGGTAAATGTGCGATATTTTTTTAAATTCATGCGATGGGACACAAACCTCCTGAATGTGAATCGCCTTACATGACGTCATCAAATTAAAAAGAAAGATATATTAAAAAACAGCACAGATTAATCTTTTTTTTTAATTATTTATATACAGGATAAATTACGTTCTTCTGACAAAGTAAAAAAAAATCAACATTTTTAAATACAACAGGTATTAATTCTTCTGACAAAGTAAAAAAATATTGATTTTTTTACTTTGTCAGAAATTACATTCAACAAATAATTACATTCTTCAAAAAAATAAGTAAAAAGATCAATATTTTTTTACTTTGTCAGAAGAATGTAATTTATCCTTTATACAAATAATTAAAAAAAAAAAATAATCTGTGCTGTTTTTTAAGTCATTAAATTGCATCATGTAAATAGTAGAATTCCGTTTCAATATTTCAAATTGTCCTTATCAAAACTTTTAATAAAGAAAGTAGAGATATAAAATAATGTAAATTGAAGTATTAAAACTGCTACTACATACAAATGTAAATATAAGTATTTATTTTTAAATAATGAATTAATCTTGAATTATCTGTTGAATCGTATGTAAATGATGATTTGCCACATTCTATGTAAAACGTTGACATTTGAACCTATATTCTGTGAGGAACTCTCAATTGGTAGTATTTATAAATCGATGATTATATCTTCAAATTAAATAAATATAACATGCGTAATTCATATAAATAACAATTTAAAAAATAGCTTAGAAAAATATTATAGTTTGTAGTAATTTGGGGCTAACAATTTTTACGCATTCGAATTTTAAAAACATTTTAATTTCGAAGTAGTATCGTAGATGTCACTATTTTTAATTTGTTATTTATTTTTTATAAAACTTTTATTGTTTTAGTATTATTATTTAACCTTTTTTATTTGCCACCAAAGTTGTATTAAAAAGTGTGATATTACAAAAAAGTACATATACAGTATGTACAGTAAAGTTTTTTTAAAAGTACAGATACAGTCTGTTATACATTAAATAAAATATGAAATAACATTTCAGAACACTGATAACGATGTATTTAATAAATTATTATAATAAACTAGTATTATTTTCACTCTGTATCCTCATTATTTTAATTTTGAGTATGTTTGTGATATGAGTAGCCCCAGTGAATAGTGGTAGAGAAGGTAAGGAGTAAAAGGGTAGCATGGTATGGTCATGTTATGAGGAGGTAATCGCATGTAACAAGGAGAACTTTAGTTATTAATATGGACATCGGTAGAGGTCCTAGAAAGAGATGGATGAATTGCGTGAAAGGTGACATGATCAAGAAGGGAGTGATGAGATGTCGTTTGATAGAGTTTTGTGTAGGACAAAAATCTGTTGCGCCGCCACGGGAGGAGGATGAGGAAGATGATGATGATCCTTATTAATTAAAAAAAAAACAGTTTTAACAGTGGTAGAGAAAGCAACATCTATTTCACAAATACGCAAAAGATAGGCGTAAATTGGAAATAACTCCGCGTTTTCTCCGAAGACAGAATGTACAGGTGTACATTTTTATAAAATGGTGGGAACAGGAAGTGGATATGGAGGAGCGCCAAAATGAAATGTCGTTTTTAAACGCATCTGCAAATTTCAAAACTGCTACAAATGTCTATGCAACGATCATTACGATTATAGAGACAACAAAAGCCAATCATTTGCCATCTTTGAAATTTAAAATAAAAACAAAACAAAATACATCAAAAACAAAATATTCTCAAAAAAACAGTACACTAAAAAGTAACGAAATAATTCCTTGAAAATAGTAAAC